AACGTAACGTTGACTTGATTTAAATTTTGGTTGACTTTAGCTTAATTAGGCTAAGTTTGATCAACGTTATGAAAATTTATATCGTAATATTTGAAAGCCAAAAATAAAAATATTAAAAGAAGGTTTTGTTCAAGGTTTACTCAACATTTTTACTCAAAATTTTGCTTCTCATAGATTTATTCAAGTAAGAAAATATTATGGTATTGTATATTCTTTTTTCTCAGGTTCTTAATATTATATTATTTTTTAATTAAGGTTTAGTGACTTTTTAATGTTTTCACTAGTTATTTGACAAATAACGGTGGAGTCGCAGAGGCCCCCCCTAGACAAAAATCATGGATCCGTCACTGGTGGTCAGGATGTTCTAGAGCAATTTGTAGCTAGTCTGCAAGAAAAATACCCTGGAGTACCTCCAGGATATGCACAATTCGTAGCTAAGGAAACCCAAGGTGATTGGGAAAATGCGGAAAAACTCTTTATGAAAGGTGTTAAGGAATAAGACTTTGTTTCTAAGGTGGATGGAAAACGGAAGGTTGATATTCCGAAAATTTCTACCTCAGATGTTGAACGAATCAACAGGTATTATGAGGAAGAAAAAAAGAAACAAAGGAAAGGAGAAGAAACTAGAGGATGGAAAATTACTCCAGGTCCTAAAAAGGCGGAGCTCAATGAGCTAATCTTGAGACTTAGGGAATCTGAGATAAAGATGATCCACTTGAAGGAATTCGAAATCCTTTAAATTCTTTCGAAGGATTCCTTAAGGAAAACTTAAAACCCGAATATAAACCTATTTATCCCACAAGGATAAGGTCAGAATTTATACCTAGGGGAATACCTCGAATGGTGGAGATACCCTCTAGTGGAAGTTTCCTAAACACCGATTGTGTTATGAATGTGGGTGTAAATTTAAATAAATATTATTTAATACTAAGTATTAAAATTTATTGGGGTTCTTACATATTTGTTAACTTTGTTTAAGTAATATTAAATATTTTGTAGACTTACAAATTATGCTAAAAATAAATAACACCACCTTCTTTACTCACCAACATTGCCTCATTTTCTTCTTGTTTCTAATATTAATTTTCTATAATATCTCAATTATATTTTTTAAATTAATATTTAAATTAATTCAACATTATTTATTAACTATATTTACTGCTTTCTCAATGAGTTTTTACTGTCAATATATTACCTATAAGTGAGTTATAAATTAAAGATTGTATTTCGAAATTAAATTTAATTAATTTGAATCTATCAATTTAAAACGGTTGTAAATGTCAAAAATTAATTTTAGAGCATAAATTGAACCACTAGTATCAATTTTATGCATTCAAATATTCAAACAAAATAACTCTAAGAGCATCTCTAAATGATTTTTTATATGATCTAAACTTTTAACTCTTTATTATAAAGAGTTTATTCATAAAAATAAGAGTCCAACAGACTCTTTATCTTTAAAATATAAATTAGACAGTGAGTTTGCTCTCCACATTTAGAGAGTCAAATTTCACTCTCTATCCTCATTTTAATTAATAAGTTACAAGTTCCTATGCATTTTATTTATTAATTCTCTCTCTCATTAAGTCTATTTCTTAGAAATAAAGAGCATCTTCATTAAATTTAAAGAGTCCATTGGATTTGAATAAAAATTGTGTTCTCTATATTTTAAGATTAATAAAGATGCTTTTTATTTATATGAAAGATGTTTTTCAAAATAAAAAGCACCATTGAAGATGTTCTAAGGGGTTGGTTGGGGAATCAATGAGGTTTATTTCCTTCTTTAAGTTTTTTGGTTTAAACTTTAAACATTGGGGTCACCTACCACAATAATATTGGATCCTTTGGGTTTATAAGATGTTCAATGGACTTCGGATATTAATTAAGGTGTACATAAGTTGGTTCAAATACCCCAGTTACCAATATATATATATATATGTTCAAGCAAAATCAATTTACAATAATAAATATGTAATGTTCATGTTACTTAAAACAATAAATACATGGTCTTCATGTTAATTCAATTTAATTATAGGATCATCATAAATTAACATGTAGGATCGCACTGGATTAAATTAGATTGGATAATATAAAATTTTATATATTGTTGTGCCGTGCTCAAAACAGTGTTGTACTAGATAAGATTTTATATATTTGTTAATAAATCTAAAATATTCTTTTAAATTAATTTTTGCTAAAATTAATTGAATAGAAAATAGTATAATAAATTTATTCTTATCATTCATAATAAATATGAAAGAAATACGGAGACTATTAAATTATTAAGTATATATTATTATTTTTTGTATTATTAATTATTCAAGTGTTGATAACCGATAGAGGTTAAATAGAATTTCTCTAGAATCAGTAAGATTATCCAATGTTGATAATAACATATTACAATTTTTAAACTAAATAACTTCACCAAACCTTTAGTTAAATGGGTGGGAGCTCAATCAGCTTTGACAATGTGCTAGATTCGAATTTTCGTTGTCACAGGATTGTCGTTTGTCATAAGAATAATACTACACATACATCATTTCCATACAACATTATGTGGCAAGATGTGATTTGGTGAAAGTTTAATTTTAACTTTAAATTAACCAATCATATCTTGTCACATAATGTTGTATGAGAAATATTGTATGAAAATAATGTATGTGTAGCATTACTCTTGTCATAATCATTATGTACCAAAGATGGCCGAGTGGTCTAACGCGTCAATTTCTTTTAGTACTTTTTCTAACCTCTCTATATTAACCATTACCTTTTAGTTTTATAATAATAATTTCCTCCAATATCTCAATTACTTAATTGTAAATTTGTAATGGAGAAATATATTTTTAGAAAGATGGATTTTCCACAAACAATAATTGGAAATAATTAAATTTTGAGTGCCTCTTATACTGGAATCTGAAACAATATGGCCTCCGCATGTTCAAGCAAAATATGAATGAATATAAGATTCATGTTAATGACGTTCATGTCAAATTAAATGAATGTGACATGATTCTTTTTAATTACAATATTGTCACCAATTTTATTTAACTATTAAGATAAAAGGACAAGGTTCAATGTAATTTCCTTAAAATTGGTCAGATTAGTTGATTTAGTCAATTTCACTAAATAAAAAATTTCAAAGCTTTTTTTCTTTAAAAAAAAAAAAAAAAAAACAAAAACAAACAATATTGAATGTAGATGGCATATTAATAATAATGCATAACCAATTTATTAGGTTTTAGCAAAATGACTTGTAACATAGTGCATAAGACTTTATAATATATTGTCAATTTTTAAGTTTAATTATGTAGTTGTTGAGGAAGATAGGCTAGGATAGTTTCTGCTTAAGTAGTTCAAACTCATTTTTATATTGCAATTTTAAAAAGAGAGTAATAAATGGTAAATATAGCTTACATATTTCTAAAGATGATATAATAGAATTAAAGTATTAAACGATGACGGTGGTATACTAATTTTTTATACTTTTCTCAAGCAGAATCATCCTAAAATTTGAACCAAATTCAAATCTCAAAAAACCGGGACGCATGTTCATATGATAAACCATGGAAGATCAGGGGTGTTTAAAAAAGTCCATAAACCGAACCAAATCGGAAACCAGACTGAAAAATCAGTTTTTTGGTGAAACTACTTAGATTTCGCTTCAAGAATTCTTTGAACCGGTTTTCTGGTTCGGTGGATTATGAGAACTGGTTAACCAAAACCGGTTTTTAAAACCGATTTTGCAATAAACATTAAAAATCACATAAGGGCTAAAATGGTAAAACCGGTAAATAAAAATTATAAACACAAAATCCAAATCCAAAAATCAAAATCCCCAAATCTCAAATCATCTTTTCACCCGAACTTCGTTCAACTTCAATCCTCAAGCTGCTGCACTCTATCTTCAATCCTCAAATCATCTTTTCACACTAGCGTGGTTTTACCGAAAAAAATCTCTTGTGCCACTCCACCTGGTCGTATGAAACTGGCATGCATCCTGGCACCCCACTCTCTTTTCATAGATCTCCCGCTCCTAAAGCCCTCAGGAACGGAGTTGATGCTCCCACATCCATGGCATGAGTAGTTAAAGCAAGTGAATGATTTAAAAAGTCTCTCCACGGCCGAAGAATGAGAATTGAAGAAGTGGGCTTTGTTTTGTTTTGAAAGGTTTGATTTTTGAATGGCAACTTGTTTTACTTGTTATTTAGGTTCATATATTTTTTCTTTTTTTGGGTCTGATTAGGATCTGGGTTTGTTTGTTTTTGTGTTCTTCTCTGTTTATGTTTACGTTTTTTGTGTTTCTGCTTCCAATTCTGTAAAATTATGGAAGTTTTTTTCATCTGAAAATAATAATAATAATAAACAGAGGGTTTTAATTTTGCTTTTTGTGTTTTTGCTTCCAATTCTCCATGTTGGAAAACAAGTTTAAAAATAGTTAACTGAAAAAACGGTTCAGTTCAAAACCAATTTCCTCTTAGAACCGGTTCAATTCAGGGATTTCCCTGAACCGGAAAACCGGTTTGGTTAAAAAAAAGGGTATTCGGACTGGTTAACCAGTTTTGAACACCCCTAGATAACTTATGATACAGAACATTACAGAGAACTCGTCACTGTCTCAACTACACAAAATAGTAGCACGGACATTAGTAAAGAATGGATAATTTCCTAGCTAGTTCTTGTAAAAATTGAGATTGTAAATTGATTCACTTGTTCGAATATGTAATGCCTAGATCGCTGCATTATTAGAAAGTGAAGCATCTTAGTTTTGAGTCTTCCACAAAAACACACATTAGTTTGGTTCCTATCATATTTCTATCATAATCATGGCATTGATTTAACCAAATCTAGACAAAATATATAAGGGAATTATGCATATCACAACTATAACAAACAAGATTGATTCTCGCAACTTTTCACACATTAACTAGATTCTGGAAAGTCAAGGTGCAGGAAATGCCCAACTCTTCAATAAAATATAAGCAGAGACAACATTATTAGAGTTACCTTTTGAAAAATTCACTCACACATCGTGAACTATTGTGATAGATGAACCACCATCAGCACAATCACCAAAAATGTCAAAATTTAGTAACTCAAAAATGCAATATTGAAAGAGTGAAATTAGCAAAAAAATGTTACAAGAGCTGCAGATCTCAACAATTTTTTCTTTCATTCCGAGTAAATTGGATGATAAAAACTAAAGCAACATGCAAATTAATAAGATATGGAACTAAGTATAGCTTGGGCTAAAATTAGGCAGGGGAATAAACATATTATATCCTTTATAGTAGAACAAAAATGAGGATACTGAAAAGATAATGCTCCCACCAATCCAACATGTAAAGTCCAAATGTGACATTATAGAGATAGATCTTGCGTTGAACCCAGTTCATTGCTCTCTTACTTACAAACAAAAAAAAAATTGTAAATGTGAATCCACAATAGGAATCAAATAAAAATAGGCATAAACTCAGCTAAATTGACAAAGCCAAGATATTAGATTTATAAGATAGACAAGAAACCAACGTTTGTTAACTGAGAATTGCCGACGGCTAATAAAAAAAATTGATCTTGTTTTCGCAGTTTGTTCAATGATCACAAAGAAAAATGATAACAATTTTACTTCCCCTGAGGATTAGTCAAGGTGCATGTAAGTTGACCAAGACACCTCAGTTAACAAAAAAAGAATGATAACAATTTTAAAAAGGCTTCATTCTCTGGACAAATTTAAGGAACAGATGGTATCATTAGAAGGAATGACAACAAATCTAGCAACAGATTTTTCTTATTTTCAAGAATTACCAAGAAAATTTCTTGAACCCGCTTAGCGAGTTCAAGTTTGACCCTACAAATTATACCCCACAAGAACCTATAATCTTTGAGAAGCAGAAAACCCATTTCACAAGCAAAATGGTAAATGAAAAATGAAAAATGAATTAAATTATGACCAGCACGTTTCTCAGGAACTAAACATTGATTTGAATATCTCATAATCTACCCAACTCTGATCAAAATACTAATTTTTACAAACAAAATGATAAATGAACGAATTAAAATTTTCAACTTTGATGTTTGATGATGTAATAAATCAAATTAAATTGTCTCCAAAACTTAACAAAATAGCTCAAAATCTGTACAACTTAAGGCATGAAACTCTTAAAATCTTCGCAGCAACCAAACAGATCTAACCAATTAGAATTAATTTCTAAATCCCATCAAGCTAAAACTGTACCAAAAGAAAAAATGACACATTCAAAGAACAACAATGAAATAAAGTAAAATAAAATACTAGTAAGAAAGGATGATCCAACCCAGAAGCGAAACTGACCTGTTTAGCATAAAGTTTTCTTCTTTCTTTGTTATTCAGACATGTTGGTTAAAATACTATGTAACGAGTGCCATTGATTTGGATTTAATTGTTGAAAGTTTCAAATATGCTTGAAACTATCAACAATTTATAAGAACAAGCTAATCAATTGATTGCACTAAAAACTTTCAACAATTACAAAACAAATTCAGAATTCTTATGATAATTGTATTATAAAAAAAGAGGGTGGAGAAGCACTCGGTAAATTACAACAAAATCCTTATGGCTAGGAATATAATCAATACAAAACAGGCACAATTGCTTTTACAATAACAACAGGTTTTTAATTGAATCACTTGATTAGCTTGTTCTTATAAAAGTTTCTAATTAATTCCAAATCATTGGCACCTGTCGCAGCATATTCGAGATTTTCGTGCCCGCATATCCATTGCCACAGTTTCAAGCTGGTGCAACTACTAAGACTCATGTTAAATGCCTAAAGTAAAATGAAAAGAATGCATGAGATAGTGAAGACATTTTGGCATCCATAATTATGGAGTTACAAAGAAATAGACAGTGCACCAGCAATAAGAACATTAGTAGCATCATGATACGGTTTCGATAGTGATAGACTGGAAACCTTGCCGAAGTTTTTAAATCGGTTTAGAACAAAATAAGACACAAACCGAGCTCCAAAGTCGACATTTAATTTATTTCTTCATATGAGGGGGTATGTATAGGTTACTACGCAGAATAGAGGTTCAACATGGTCATAAAACTTAAATCCTACAAGATCAAATCAGATTACAGTCGGCCATTTCTAGTCTGTGCCTCCTTCAAGTACAGTCAATCAATGAGCGAATTAAAAATTTCCACTTTGATGTTTGATGATGTAATAAATCAAATTAAATTGTCTGCAAAAGTTGACAAAATAGCTCAAAATCTGCACAACTTAAGGCATAAAGCTCCTAAAATCTTCACAGCAACCAAATAGATCTAACTAATTAGAATTAATTTCTAAATCCCATTCAGCTAAAACCAGACCAAAAACAACAAAGACACATTCAAAGAACAAGAATGAAATAAAGTAAAATAAAACACCAGTAAGAAAAGACGATCTAGCCCAGAAGCGAAACTGACCTGTTTATGAGAAAGCTTTCTTCTTTCTTTGTTATTCAGACAATTTGGTTGAAAAAATTATGTGGGTCGATTTCGATTTGTTTGTTCGTTTGCAAAAATTGTGTTTTCGGGGAGATTTAATAGAAGAGGACTTAATCTGTTAATCATACTAAACCCTCCATAGTTCTGTTTCGGGTTAAGGGAGTTAGGGGAGATTTAAAATATATTTTCTATAAAAAATTTCTCTAAGATAATATTAGACCACCAACCTTCTCTTACAAACTTTCTTTCATAATCATGATATAGTAGTTCGTAATTGATCAGTTTATAATAGATCTCATTAATTAATTATAAGCTGACTAATTGTGAGCTGTCACGTCAAAATTATGAGAGAAAATTTATGAAAGAGGGTTGTTGGTATAGTATTACTCATTTCTCTAAAATAGAAAAACAATATATTAATGCAGTTGATATAGTAGCAATATTGTATAATAAGATATTCTATTTTCCTTAATGTGATTGGATGAATTTAAATTAGAGATAATTTAAACAATTGGAGTAAAGGATATGTCAAATTTTTTTTTTATTTATTTATTTATTTTTTTTGGGTATGGCAACTGTGGCCACCTCTTGCCCATGTTACAACTTGAACCCAAAATTCCTTGATCTTTTAACTCTATAATCAATCGATATGTCAAAATGCATACAGTTATGAAATTAGTTTGTATAATTAGTTCGTACACGTAGCATAACTCATCCTTCAATATCTTATTTGTAGAAAAATAAATTGTAATATAGAAAATTTAAGTTGAATAACCTAATTGTTGATGATGACATATTAGATTAAACAATGATAGAATATAGCTTTTGTCACAAATACAATTTAATTTTAACCCTTAAAAATTTGATGCAAAATCCCCATTTTGAAATCTGTTTTCACATTTTCGGACAAAATCAATTTAAAATGACTCATGAATACACTTTCTTGTATTTTATTTATTAAAAAAATAGAGTAATTATACTTAACCCTTTTTAGTTCTTTAGTTTCGATCCCTTTTTATTTTTATTTAAAATTTAGTATTGTCATTAAATTAAAGTTTAAATATAGTTTTTTTTTTTTTTTTAAATGGTACGAATGTCAAAAGTCTACGTTGAATTGAGTTTAAATTTTCTTGATTTTAATTTATTTGATTTATATATATATATAAAGAAATGAATGTGGTAGGTAAAGTAGAAATAAAATAACTATTTTTGGATGGTCAAGTGATTCGATAAGGACTCTTACATGTATTACTTAAAAGGTCATGAGTTCAAGTATCTCTTTAGTTGCTAATAGAGATAGCCACTGGAGCTCTTACCCGGCTAATAGAGGTGATTGGTTTTAGGTACCCTATATTTTTTGAAGGAATCGAAACCAGAACCAGCTGGTTTCAGTTCCTAGAAACCTGGAACCAGAACTTGAAACATAGGTTCTGGTTCCGGGTACCTGGGTTAATTTTAATTATCCCTACTTTTTAAAAAATGACAAATACACCCCAAAAAATTACAATTCAATCCTGGATCCTACCAGGGCACTCAAACCTTGGTTCTAGTTCTGGTTTTGGTTTTAGGTTCCAACACTGCAGGAATCAAAATTGGAACTAGAACCGGGAATTCCCGATTCCAATTTTCCAAAATCGAAATCGAACCCTGATGGGGCCGATTCCGGTTCTACCCTTTACCCATGCTCACCCTACCAGTCGTAGTTCCAGACTTCCAAGTCATAAGAGACTATTTAAGGTGCACGTAAGTTAGCTTGGACACCTCCAGTCATAAAAAAATAGTAGAAATAAAATATAACCGGAAATTTTATTTCCATCCATACTTATAAAACAATTATATGAAACAAAAAATGATAGTAGTTGATATACAGTAGTAGCAATAATGTATAAACATATATTTTATTTCCATTTATGCTAGCATAATACATCTTCATCTTCATTGATCGTATTTTGGATGAGAATTTTTAATCCAATTAACATAGGGTAATACATAATTGCTTTGTATAGGGTTAGATTGGCTCAAACTGATAGAAAATGGACAGAATGGCTCACTTATTTTATTTTCTGTAAAATATTAATTGCATATAATATCTGAATTATAATTTATAAACTAATATTAAATTAACTTCAAAATGAAATTTAATTAAATCGAATAAAATAATTGTTCATGTTAATGATATGTCATTAGATCATTATCACATTATGTCCATGGCATTGTTTCTAAATACAAGACAACCATTATTAAGTACACGATCTCTTATTCTTTAATGTTAATTTGAATTTCCATTTCCATTTATTTTTATTATAGTATTTTCATGATATTTTTTATTTTAAACTATTTTTCAAAACAGTGGGGGTGATTTTGTAAAATATCAATGAATCATGTCACATTAATTTCATGGGAAGTTTAATTTCTACTTATTTTTGTTCTCTATTTTATGTTAAATTAATTAATTGATTTTATTTTTCTCTTTCTAATTACAATATATAGAAGGTAGAGATATAATTTCTTATAAGTTTATTTTATTATAATTTCTTATATATTAATTAACTGATTTTATTTGCTAAATTAAAAAGCAATAAATTCCAAATATCCTTAGAATATTTGTAACTTTGTTAAGCAATATTATACTACCATTTTTATTTATTTATTCTTAGTACACATTTTTTTTTTTAACATATAATCTATTCATATGTAATACTGTTTCAAACTAAATAACATGAAATAAAATAAAATAAAAATTTCTGTAGTTGGTATAGCAGCAAAAATATATAATCAGATATTTTATTTTTATATTTGAATAAATCATTTATTTATATTTAAGACTGACACTAAAGCAAAATTTATAACAAGAAATAAATTATTTATTATATGAAAAAATAAACAAGATATAAAAACCTTGGGCCAGCAAGGTCAGGAACGGGGGAAACCAGGAAGCGAAAGCTATTGATGTTTTCTTTTTTTCTAGCATATTAATTTCCTACAATATCTCAGTTATAATTTAATAAATTAATATCAAAGCTAAATCAATATTGTTTATTAGACAAAAACCAAATTAAGTATTTAACATCAATTTTATAGTAAAATCTAAAGCATCATGCATTCACAATTTCGAGAAAAATAAATTCAAAACAAATGAAAATGTTGTGAAGTCCGGCATCGCCGCCATGTGAGAGGGGATACCTCTATATATGGACTAAAGACCTTAACCCAACATGACGCGTTTTGAGCCAAAAGCCTAGAAACAAAATTGTAAGGCTATATAGTGTTAAAGTGGACAATATCATATTAGGCCATTTATAACACGTTATCAATACGATCGCAATGGAAAGACATGTTGTAAAGTCCCACATCATTCTTGTGTGAGAATGGGTGCATGTATATATAAAGCTATAGGCCTTAACCTAATATACCGCATTTTGAGCCTAAGCCCAAAAAAAAAAAAAAAATTCGTGAGATCCTGTAATGCCAAAGCGGACAATATTATGTTGGGCCATTTATAACAGAAAATATAACGTTCATGTTAATGATATGTCACTAAATCATATCACATTATGTTCTTGGGATTCTTTCTAATTAAGTACACAATCTATTATTTTTTTAATGTTAATTTCCATTTCTTTCCATTTACTTTTCAATTATAGTATTTTGATATTTTCATGATATTAACTATTTTTCAAAAAAGTGGGGTGAATTGTAATAAACCTAAAGTCAGCATCCATTAATGATTTCTGAAACGTCAGGGGTGATTCTGTAATTAACCCATTAAATGACTTCTCGCGCGTGAGATCTCACTTCTCACATGCGATTCACGAGGAGGCGACGTATTAATCTTCAACAGCTCCCCCTTAATCCATTTTTAAAACGACATTGTCGATCATCGTATCGTCTGCGGCGGCGCTGTTCCTCGATTCAACCATCTCCGAATTCAGGCGAGTGTTCAAATTACTTGATCTCTGCTTTGATTATCCAATAATGAAGCAATTGATCTTTATGTTCCCATTGTAGAATTGCAAAATCTAATCGCATCTCTTTAATGGGTTTAATCGCATGTTTCTTGTGATGGAATTGTTATAAGACATAATTTCTAAATGTTTACTGAGATTTTTCGTGAAATTTTTTATCTTTTGTCTATTTTTTGTTTGATTTAAACTGCTGCGGAGAATTACGAAACAATTTCGGTAATTTCCAGAAACCCTAAGTTGTTAAAAGGCCCCTTCATATTATTAAAAACCCCTATAAAAGTATTGAAAACTCCCTATCTGGGTGTACTTAATACTTTATGACAATCTGGGCTCGTTTAATTTTAATAAATCTCGTAAATAAACCAGAGATAATTAGGGAAGCAGTCTCTTTTTAATCTTTTTTTTTCTTTCGGTTAGAGTGAGTGAGGTTATTAAGGGTCAATTTGTTTGGTAATATTTATGATTTTGGTGGGCTGTATTTGGGATAAAACATGTGCATAATCCGAGAACTTTTGGTGTGTTGAATTGCTTATCTAGAATGCTCGTTAAGTGCTTTTCCGGCCTAGAGTAAGCATTCTGGAAAAACCGCTTGTAAAGTTTCCAGCAACCCTAATGAATTTCATTTTTGTTGTTGGTAGACTTCCAAAACTCTGTCTATGTTGTAATTCAGTTTTATAATCACGCAGCAACCAAAGAAATCACAAATTCTCTCCACCATAGACATAATAGAGAATATCATAATATTCATTTTCAAACCAGGACTTTTACAAAGTTAGAGCTTCATTTATTACAATACCTAATCTTAGTTCTCACTGTAGTATGTTTTTACTGTTATCAATTTTATGGTTATTATTGAAGAAGCTCTTGTGATTTTATTAGGTTTGATTTGCTGATTTAGTCTTTGTTTGAATTTTTTTTTTTTTTTAAATAATTTGTTTATGAAGACTCAAACTTTAGTTGATCGATGATGCAGTTTCTCAGTCTATTTTTAAAATTAGAGCTTGCTTATATATTCATTCTTCCATAAATTAAATTTCTCTTCTAGTAAATGTTATCAATATTTCAGGAAATGGCAAAATTAGGGTATCAATCTCTTTTTTACCCTTTTTTTTTTTTTTGGTTAACCCCCGTAAGGTTAAGCTCAATTAGTTTGGTAATGTTTATTTTTTGGATTGGCTACATTTGGGGGTGAACATGCACATAATTGAATAAATTTTAGTGTGTCGAAGTGCTTATCCAGAAAGCATGCTAAGTGCTTTTCTGACCTGGAGTAAGCATTCTGGAAAAACTGTCAATTATCAGTTGCTTCTCCTGAAAGCCCTTTCAGTGTGAATGTGTGTATTTTAGTCAAACACTATAAAATTGATAGAAAGAGCGCTGTAGTTTTTCACTTCTAAAATTGTATTTGGGAGTGCTTTCTATATTTTTAAAAGCTCATTTCTGTATATTTTATGGCATTTGATTGAAATAAACAAAATAACTTATTGTAGTCAGAAAAAATGCTAGGAATACCTTATGATGCCTTTGGGATATGAGAAAACTTGGAATACTTTCTAAGAGAATACATGATAAGGTGTTTCTGTAGAATATGATTTTAAATGCTTACACAAAAAGAAAAAAAAAGGTTTATGCTCAAAACCACCCTGAAACATGTTTATTTATTATTATTTTTTTTTTTTATTATTCTGTTACTACTTTGTTGGTACTTGTTTTGTGGCAAAGCCTAGGATGTTAAATATAGTAGTTGTACTTACCATATCACTGTTATATATCTTCTTACTGTAAATTTTTCTTTGTACGATCATTACACAAGCATTATGTTCTGGATTTGATCAAACATTTTTGTATAATGTAATGAAGATTCTTCTACAGTGCTTCTTAAATTGTCTCCCTTTTACCTTTTGCGATTGGGGCCTTGGTGGAAAAGTAATGCAAGAATGAGTAGTAGGAAGTCTTCCACAAACCTTCTCTATACTTTGGTTCTCATTGTTGGGATCATATATGGTTGGTTCTTGTGTTTTTTCTGGGAAATTATTTGCATGTATTATTCGCTGAACAGTTTCTCATTTGTTACGCGTACTTTGTGTGTACTTGGTGTATGGCATTTTGTTAATTGCATTTGTTTCTTGGTCTAAAATTAGTAATTGCAACCTTGATAACAAAGAAACATAATGAAAGCAGATAGATGTTTATGTTGTTTGAATGAGGTGGAGTGAGATTGTGATTGTTAGAGGCTTCAGGAGTGTGTTTAATGAGATCAATAATTGTTGATGCAGGATGTCACAAACTGAGGAGGTACCCTTTAGACCAAGAGAAAAGCTTGTCGAGAAGCAGAAGTATTTCCAAAGCATCCACAAACACACATACCTGAAAGGACCAATGGATAAGATCACCTCCGTTGCTATTCCACTCGCTTTGGCTGGCACTTGCTTGTTTCTCATTGTGAGTGTGTTTCTTTCTTTGCACAAACCTTATTTTAGTATTTACAATGTATAATCTCCGTAGAAATAGGAAATAAAAATATTAAATTTGCTTGTTATTATGTAACCGTTTTATATATAATTATTATTATCATTTTTTCAGGGGCGAGGTATCTATAACATGTCACATGGGATTGGAAAGAAAGAATGAGGTAGCAGTCTTTTCTGTTGCCGGGCTATATGATTGTATAGCCAAATTTCAAAATTGTGTTTTGTACTTCGACAATTAATTGTCTTCGAAGTTTTTTCTTCAATTAGCATCTTCAATAATGGCAACAACTGAATAGAAGTTGAAACCTTTTTTTTTAATGGAATTACATTTCAGATTCTTTTTAATACTGCAATTTCAAGTCTTTTGCTTGAGTGAATGGTTGATAAGTTATTTGCTTCTCAATGATAAACTATCCCGCATGTTGTGGTCGGGAGGCTGGAAACCATATAAAATTTGAGTTCTTACGGCCTGAGCTGTGCTGATTCAGGGAGCAAAAGGTGATGAATTTAGGTTAAGAAAGAGAGGACGGCAATAGCTTCGCGACAATATTTGGTATGATCCGTAACTCATTGCAAATTGGGCCGGAATTGCCTGTCAAAGCTTCGAGCAAACCCATTTTTCTAGAGAATGTCTGAATCGGAGCCGTTGGGTGTTTAAATAGGGTTAATAACAATGGGGTACCCCTGTAGTAGTAGTACCCTGGAGTTTTACGTTTTATAACAGGTGGGTGGAAAAGATGTTAGGTCAACACTCACGCCTCAAACGGTGATCAGCCTTAAAAGGAAGTTACACTAACCTTGTAAAAATCTCAAGCAAACTCATTGCAGCTCGAAATGCATTCATGAACGATTCTTTGAGCGAAATTTAGACTTTGCAAATCACATTTTGTGTTGAGGTTAGCTTTTCTTTCGTGGTCAGTTTCTCCTGAACAAAACTCAGGCGCTTAACCAGACCAAGTAGTCTCGTCGGAGCAAAAGCGATCAATTCCTTCTATCTGAACCGAAATACAACACAAATCAATATACAAAATTTGCATTCCGGTTCCAACCAACCATGGATTGATCATTAAACCATCACTGATTATTCAAACTATGGACTTTGGGGTGTTAAAGAGTTATTGTGTGTTTGTAAAATATTCATGATATCATGTGTTATAAATGTCATTGTTGCCATTATAATGTTTACAAGTTAAATGTTTTTTCTCACTATTACTGCATACTACACAAAAATAAAGTGAATGTTTGTTTGCAAAGCCCTGTAAAATTAAAAAAACTCGAGTATACAAATTTAATCAATAAAACCAGTAGTGAATTTATCTTCCGCTATGAATATCGAAATTATAGTTCTATTCTTCCCGAAACATATTCCAACTTCATATCCCAAGTGATATAAAATTATAATTGGCATTGACATGTAAATAAAATGATGATGCATTTGAATGATATGGCAATAGTCATATGACGACGCATCATATAAGATGTGAAATTTGAGATAAATATTTGGGATATTACTGAGAAGTGAGCATGGGTAACGGGTAGACCCGAAACCGATAGGTACCTACCCATTGGTTTCAGGTAGGAACCAGAACCGGCCTACATAAGGTTGGTTTCAATTCCAAATTTGGTGGAATCAGCCTTGTGTGGGTCCTAGTCCAATTCCACCACTTTACGAATCGGACTTGAAACCGAGGTCTGAGTACCCGAGGTGGAACTAAATGGTAACTAGGGTGTAATTGTAATTTTTATGAACTGTTGAAGATATATTTATAATTTTTAAGGGTATATTTGTCATTTTTAGAATATTAATGGGGTATAAAAATTTATAAGGTACTTGAAACTGGAACCGACCAATTCCTTGGAATTGGGTCAGATACCCAAACCCACTCACCCCTCATTATGAATCAAGCGATTGTTATTATTGACATAAAAAGAGGCGAATCCATGATCACTTACAGAGTTTTAAGTATTGATTTAGCAAGAAATAATCAACTCAGTAATTACAACCATTGATTTCAGACACAATGTCTACTATAGATAAAATATTATCATAGATATATGAGAAAAAAAACTATAGGCCACTAACTCAAGCAGAAGACAACTTGATAATGCACACAACTATTTATAATACAGCCACAGAATCATATAGTCTGGCAACAGAAAAAAGACTGCTACCTCATTCTTTCTTTCCAATCCCATGTGCCATGTTATAGATACCTCGCCCCTGAAAAAAAAATAACAATAATATAAAACGTTTACATAATCACTCCTTTTTCTACAGAAATCACACATTGTAAATACTAAAATAAGGCCTTGTACAAAGAAAGAAACACACTCACAATTAGAACCAATGAAGTGCCAGCCAAAGCGAGTGGAATGGCAACGGAGGTGATCTTATCCATTGGTCCTTTAAGGTATGTGTGTTTGTGGACGCTTTGGAAATACTTCTGCTTCTCGATAAGCTTTTCCCTCGGTCTAAAGGGTGGCTCAATTTCTGACATCCTGCAATAAGAACACACAATCTCACTCTGCCTCATTCAATCAATATATACATCCATCAGATTTTAATCATGTTTCTTTACTATGCACGAATTTTAAACCAAGAAACAAATGCTATAACAAAATGCCATGAACCAAAGTATACACAAAGTGAATATTCAGTGAAATAACACATGCAAAAAGATTCCCAGAAAAGAAAAGGACAAGAACCAACCATATATGATCCCTACATTCAGATCCAAAGAATAGAGAAGGTTAGTGGAAGACTTCCGACCATGCATTCTTACATTACTCTTCCAACAAGGCCCCAATCACAAAAGGAAAAAGGGAGACAATTTAACAAGCACTGTAGACAAATACTTTTTTTTTTTTGGGTTATTAGGGATGTCTGAGCCAGCTTACATGCACTTCGACCAGTCCCTGACCCCGAATAAGGCTTCCGAAATAAGGCAAGTCCTGTGGTCCGTGGCCAACAATATTAGTAACGGTTTTTGTGATTCGAACCTGAGACCACAGGTAGAGCAAACTCCTTGATTCCAAGCCTTTATCACTTGGACAACCCATTGTTGGTTATTAAAGACAGATACTTCATAACAACAAACACAAATTCTTGTTCAAATTTTCAACAGAATACTTGTGTAATGGTCCAACAAGTAAAATTTACAGTTAAAATATATAGAAATTTTGATTTGGTAAGTACAACTACTGGATTTAGTATCCTGGGTTTTCCACAATATATAAAAACACCTATCATGTATTTTCTTAAGCATTCCAAGTTTTTTTTTTTTTTTATCCCGAAGGGATCATGAGCTAGTCTTATTATTTATCTAACTACAAAAAATTGTTTTGTTTAAACCAATCAAATGCCATAACATACAGAATTGAGCTTATGAAAATATCAAAAGCACTCTCAAATAAAATTGTTAGTTGTGAAAATCTACGGCGTTTTTTCTATCTATTTTACAGTATTTGTCTTAAATACACACATTCACATTCAAAAGGCTTTTACAAGAAGCAACCTATAAGAGACAGTTTTTCCAGAATGCTACACCAGGTAAGAAAACACTTAACATAAGTACTTCGACACGCTGAAAAATTATTAGCATGGACGACAATTAGATTAGATGGCAGAAGATTTAGAATTACATTACGGAAAACACAGTAGACTAATTCATTAAGGACATGAAAGCTGATGCTTTTAGGAAGCTACATTTTCTTTGTTGCATTTCTAGTTAAAACACATTTAAATTGAAGGCTCAAAGACAGTTCTAAAACTAAACTCAATTTCAGAGAAGGGATACAATGTTAATGATACATTAGTAAAAGAATGAGAATTTCATATGCCACGTCTGAAAGACGAGAATCCCAAAATAGAGGCAGCTGGGACAAAGCTATAAAGTTCATAATAACAGTCAGTTCATTTCACCTTAAAATAAAATTTCCATAATTAATTAATTACTTGCATTTTCGCATGCCAAAGAGGAAAAGTGATCCTGTATATCAAGTGAAGATGACATAAGATGACTGACAATATTTACCTCGGAGATGGAGACTGAAAATCAAGCCAACGGCGGCGACAACGACGGCAGTGCAGAAAGGTGATGGAGCAAGGTGAAGCGGAATGATTGAGAACAATTTAGAAGCAGCTGGAGTGTTTCCATGTTAAAAATGAGATAATAGGGAAAAAATCACTTTCCCCCCTTTTCTTTCTGAGACTATTTGGCTAGTGACTTTTAATTTTTAATCACATGGATCCCTGAATTAATAAGAATTTATCACTTAATGCCCCTCAAGCTGATTTCCATAGACTTTCGTTGATGGATATTTAGTAAATGACTAATTTAGCCTAATTTTCAAGCATAAAAACAATTAAAATTAAAATTAAATAAATTAAGAACACATATTGGGGTGCGCTTTTCGAACTACAAAACATATCGTTATAATAAAGTCGCCTTCCACTATGAAACCGAACCGAACCGAGCCAACACAATACATGCAAATCTCGTTTGTGTGCAACAGTGCAAGTCACCATGGGATGGTAGGGGGGCTGTGCAATGACATGGGCTGTGGGGAAGAGAGAGAGGAGGTCCATCATAGACCACCTCCAACCCTTTTCAATCACCTATCTCTTTTTTTCTTCCATTTTTTCCCCAAATTTCATTAATAAAAGTCTAATAGAAGCAATTTGAGGGGTATTAAGTGATTGATTTTAGAAATTCATGGATGTATTTGATTAAAAAGAGAAATTAAATTGACATATTAGACTCTATTATGGGCCCATATAATGGGCCCATGTAATCAAAAGAGTTGAGCAATGTGGGCTCCATCCAAAGGCCCAATAGCATAAAAGCATAAAGAAGAGTTCATTTTGCTAGCTGTTTTCAAAAGAATTTGAGACCATCTCTCGCACGAACAAACAAAGAAGAAAAAGTATAAAGGAATAAACTCAACAAGCTTTCACTTTTAATAATTCCTTTTTTTAGCTTTAAAATTCCCACTTTACTTCATCTCCATAGCTCCAACATTGCTGCATTTTCACTCAGTAAGTCCCTCTCTCTCTATAGCTCAAGTCTCTTCAAGTTTCAGCTTTTTGTTTTTGTATTTTGTCAGTTTAATCTCTGTAAAGCTCAAAACTTTCATGTCAAAGTTGTGAACTTTAAGCTGAAGTTCACTTGTACAACATGAAACTCAACTGGGTTTTGCCTCTTTATTTCTGCAAACTCTTCTTCTTGATTTTGCTATTTACACACCCATCCGAGTCTCTTGACCTTAACCTGCAAGAGAAAGCTTCACTTTTGTTGTTTAGGTCACTGGTTCAAGACCCTAACCAGAGGTTATCATCTTGGGTTGGGTCTAACTGTACCAACTGGACTGGTGTCACTTGTGATAGGCAGACCAGCCATGTTGTGTCTTTAAACTTGATTAATATGAACTTGTCAGGCCAAGTTCATCGCAGTTTGTGTGAGCTTTTGTTTCTTGAAAATTTGGCTTTGTCCGGTAATAACTTGAGTGGTAGAATCCCTTTATGTTTTGATGCATTGAATGGTCTCAAGACTCTTGATCTTAGTCACAATGGCTTTGTTGGTGTTTTGCCTGATACTTTGATGAGGCTTAGGAACTTGAAAGCACTTATTTTGAGCGGTAATAGAGGTTTGGGAGGAGTTTTCCCTTGGTGGATTGGGAATTTTTCGACAAATTTGGAGAAACTTGATATGAGTTTTGATTCATTTAGAGGAGAAGTGCCTGAGAGCTTGTTTTACTTAAAGTCTTTGAAGTATTTGGATCTTGGAAACAATTATTTAGAGGGTGATGTTCATGAGTTTTATCAGGGTTTGAGTTATCTCAATCTGGGGTCTAATAGATTTTCGGGTACTTTGCCTTGTTTCTCTGCTTCTGCATCGTCGCTAACTCTTTTGAAATTGGATAATAATTCTATTGTGGGTGGAATTCCTACTTGTATTGCTTCATTGCAAGCTTTGACTCATATGAATTTGTCATTTAATCATTTGAGTTATGGGATTTCTCCGAGGCTTGTGTTTATGGAGAAGCTTCTTGTGTTGGACTTGAGTTTCAATGATTTGTCGGGTCCGCTCCCGAGCAAAATTGCTGAGACGACAGAGAAGTCAGGGCTTGTTCTTCTTGACCTTTCGCATAATCGGTTCTCAGGTGAAATCCCCTTGAAGATTACTGAGCTAAGAAGCTTACAAGCATTGTTTCTTTCTCACAATCTTCTCACTGGAGAAATCCCTGCAAGGATTGGAAACTTGACTTATCTTCAAGTGATTGATCTCTCACACAATATGTTGTCAGGTTCAATTCCATTGAACATTGTTGGGTGCTTCCAGCTGCTGGCATTGATAGTCAATAACAATAATCTTTCGGGTCAAATTCAGCAAGAGCTTGATGCTCTGGATAGTTTGAAGATATTGGATATAAGCAACAACAGGATATCTGGGGAGATCCCACTAACTTTGGCAGGCTTGAAATCGTTGGAGATTGTAGATTTCAGCTCGAACAATCTCTCCGGAAGTTTGAGTGATGCAATAACCAAATGGTCGAACCTCAAGTATCTCTCCATTGCGCGGAACAAACTCAGTGGAAATCTTCCGAATTGGTTATTCTCATTTGGAGCAATTCAAATGATGGATTTCTCTAATAACAAATTCACAGGCTACATACCAGACGGTAACTTTAATATCAGCTTAAATTTCAACAATGGTGATATTACTAGAAGTTTGCCTGCAAAACCATTTGTTTCCATGAGAAGTATGGCGATCAACATTTCTGTGGCTGTCATTGATACAAATGTGTTAAACTTTAACTATGATCTATGTTCAACAGTTGGTATAGATTTATCCGATAATTTGCTTCATGGGGTGATTCCAGATGGTCTATTTGAGCTGCGAGGTCTCAAATACCTGAACCTATCATACAATTTTCTCAATGGTCAGGTTCCAGGTCTTGATAAGATGTTAAGCTTGAGAGCTTTAGATTTATCACATAATTCTTTGACCGGTCAGATTCCAGGAAACATTTCCAGCCTTAAAGATTTGACACTTCTGAACTTGTCGTATAACAGTTTCTCCGGATTTGTTCCTGAGAAACAAGGGTCTCGAAAATTTCCAGGAGCATTTGCTGGAAATCCGGATTTGTGCGTGGAGTCAGCCTCCAGTGAAGGGTGTGACCGGACAAGCCTTCCAACGGTGCCTGGAAAGTCGTTTAGAGAAGAAATAGGCGAGGGACCGATATCTATCTGGGTATTCTGTTTAAGCTTTTTTGTTAGCTTCTATCTTGGTGTTGTTACTCTCTTTTGTTCAGCTAGGACAAGAAAGTACATTCTTCAGACAAAAAATTGATGTAGGGTTAAATTGAGAACGAAAACTTTCCTATTGTATATTCCCAATTCTATTTTCTCATAAGCTTAGTTTGCTTTTCTAAGATTATTCTTTGGCAGTGCCAGAATGGTGGCTTGGATGGTTTTGTTTAGTTGGATTTAATTTCCATCTGCAATGCTTTTGACTTGTTCTAGAGGAATTTTGAAACTGGAACTTCATTTGGCTTATCTATTGATCAAAAGGGTTGTTGATTTATCTACTGATTAAAAGAGTTGATGAAGATTGTTCAAAGAGAAATTTATTAATTGAAAATAAAAAGTGGCTCAACTAACTCTACGTGACCGAATAGTTCGATAGGGACTTTTGAACGTATAATTCAAGAAGTTCTGAATTCGAATCTTCTCTCAGTTATTAATGGGGTAGTCATTGTAACTCCTATCCAGTCGGTAATTATATGGTTGAGATGTGTATAAACTAATCTAGATATGGTCTGTCATTAAAAATATATATATATAATGGCAGGAAATCACAGAACGTCGCATAGTCATGTCATAAAAGAGCAAATGTATTATACTATTATGAACGGGTAACTTACATAGATTATTATGGTTTCTGGTTAGTTATTATAAATCAATAATTTAAGTTAAAAATCCCAGTCCAAACTAACTACACAAACACATCATCTACTTCAATTTTGTTCAAATAACTTTTAATGTCTCAATTCTCATTCTTCCATTAAGGTAATGTACTATCCCACTATCTATATAAAAAATTATAAATTTATAATAATTTTCCTTTCAAAATCAAATAACAATTGGTATACAACTTTTTCAATAATGAGCTTTCATTTCATTTCCTTGAATGAGGCTGAAACCATGGCCAGATTCACAAAATTCACTAGACTTAAAAAGACAATGAACTACCATTATACAGATCAAATCTATCAACCCCTGTTCGTCGAGGTAAAATATGCATAGACGAATGAACTCACTCATGGAGGCGAAAAACTTTATTAAAAGCTTCCGGATTGGTGGTAAATTTTGTAGAAAGCAGCAGGCATGGCGAAATTTCCAGCACAGTTTGACAAAATGCTGACATTCCCATCTGGAAACTCCTCTGGTGCAAACTAATCTATTAAGCCATGATTCATCATCTCAAATACAGCATGGTAGCGTGTGTCTTAATATCTTATGGGTCCTTCAAGGCTCCCTGATGCAAACTGTTGACAAGGAGAAGAGGAGTGACTGATTTGAATCATAATAGAAATCGTAAATTAACATGGCAAGTGCACATTGGCAATTACCATATCATCGATGTCTGGTTATGTGTGTTTATTAAAGAGTGTGTGTGTCGTGAAGAGGGGTGGAAAAGATATTCTTAACTGTATTGTGAAGGAAATGAGAAAATGGTTTTTTAAATTGTTTTCATTGATGTAGGAATTCATTTTGTTTTCTAAACCCGCGAAACATTTTTCATGTATCTGATACGTTTTGACTAAAAATACAAATTTCAAGTTTTTGTTTTCATTTTCTGAAAACAGTTTTGCATAACAATACTGAACGGGCCACAACGATCTTTAAGACTGCATTGTGATTAGAAAACCAGTACATGGAATTCATGAAACACTACAAAAGAGTCGTTACCTGTTGGACAATCGGATTGTCTGATGTTGTGAATTCATGAGTCATCCCTTGCCAAACAATTTTACCCTCGTGAAGAAATATCAACCTATATAAATTAACTTTGTCAGGGGATGCCACATTATAGCATAATTAACTACACAAACATGAGTTTGGACAGAGCATCACCTGTCAACCGCTCTCCTAATGGTACTATGTTGGTGTGTAACAACCACGTAAGATGCAATATTTCCAGGGTTCCCAAGTGCATTTTCACCTTTAATATGAACTGAACGGATAAGATCTTCAACTACAGTGGATGCAATGGGATCAAGTCCAGCCGTTGGTTCATCATACAAAAGAACCTGCCCATAAATGATAAGATTGTCAGGAAAAAATCCTTTTAACTATTGATGCAGAAATTCCTTTAGGAAAAGTTAGTATGAAAAGACTTATTCAGCTATTATACATACCTCTGGCTCAATTGACTCCTTTGTGGTATCAAAAATAATAGACCGAGCCAAAGCAACTCTTTTCTTCATTCCGCCAGACAACTCAGATGGTAAACGATCCTCAACTCCCTGAACACAAGACTCTGTCAGATCTTACATTAAAGGCTAGTGCAATTGCAAGTAGTGGGAGATGGAGTGGTGAAAATTTGGCAAGTAGCGTTAAAATGCTGAGACATCATCAAAGTTGCCAAATAGATTGAATACAATAATAAGAAATATCTTGTGCATACAAGTATCACCTTTTTTTTTTTTTTTTTTTGGCTAAGAGTATCACTTTCTAAAATGCTATAGAAACTGACACCAACAAATCCATAAGCGACTTTTTAGACCACTATGCTTCAATTCTTAATGACAGAGAAATGGAACACACTATCACGTCAATCCCTCCCATCCATCCAATTTAGTGGAGGGTCATCATCCTCAACCAAGCCGAGTTTACACATTTTGGGAAACATGAAGAACATCAAATTCTACTCAGACAGATATAAAGATATTTCAATCATACCTTTAATCCAACAGCCGCCAAATTTTCCTTCACGAGCTCTGAAATTTGATCTTCAGGCATTCTTGAATTTTCATATCTATAATCAACAATAATGAAGTAACTCAAATTTTTTTACTTTAAAAATACCATTAAAGTGGCAATTATAAGTGCCAACTCCGTAGTATTTAAACAACAGAAAAGAGTACACGATTTCAAAAGGTAACTAGACTGTTTCTTACAAAAGGAAACCAACATTTTCACGAACAGTCAATGAGTCAAAAAGAGCAGCGCTTTGGAAAACCTGTTGCAAGAAATGCATATAAAAGGATAATTAGTAATAAATAATCACAAAGGAATTAAGAGTATCTATAAGCTAACAGGATATTCACCAATCCAATTCGAAGACCAGATATCTCCTCATCACTAATCAAACCAGCTCTCCTTCTACCTCGAATGTAAACCTCTCCCTGCCCATCAGACAATTGAGACATGTTACATTGGAGAATCCGAAAACAAACATCTAATGGACTTCCTAATTATGGATAAGGGGTGTATAAGAAGAACATGAAAACCAGCTACAATTACTTACCTTGTCCGGGGCAAGAAGTCCGGCCATAATCTTCAGAATAGTAGATTTGCCAGTGCCAGAAGTACCAATTATTCCAACAGCATCGCCATGTCTAATCTGTCCAACAGGAAACATAAACGTGATTATTTTCAGGAAAAGGGAGGAGAGAAGGAACATAACCAGTGATATTGTTGAGAGAAGTACCAAAGACAAGCTAAACTATAACCACAGAAAGAAGAATAGAACTGGATCAATATTCTTATTATTTTTATTCATAAGAATCTAAAGAAAATGTCAAAAATGAAGACATGTGTATGAGAAAGTAAACCATATAGAAGACAAAATTCTACGGAGGGGCATCCACCTTATACTAAGACAATCCAAACTCACAATATATACCAAACTCTTCCCCCGGTGCATATACACACACAAAAACATTAAAAAAGACTACTTCTCAATTAACATAGATAAAGAAAAAAGAAGAATCTTGAAAAATATTTAAAAGGAAAGCCCTAAGTAATGCAAAAAGCTGAATCTTATACCACTAAGTGCCACTATCTTCCTCTTTTACCCCACCAAAAGTACAGTTGTTTCTTTCTTGCCATATAGAACTGGATTCTTAATTTTCTTTGTCTTCACATTTCTTACCAGGATCACTCACTTTCAGGAATCCACAGCATAGGAGCCTTTTACCTAATGTAACACAAGGCCGATAAGGTTTAAAGAAAGTGAGCCCAAGGTTAAAGCAAAACTATATCTAAATGGGAAGACAAAATAACAAACATGGAAGAGAATAGTTAAACTACACACTCAACCTATATTTTATCACTTTTTTAACTTTATATTTTGTTCTAAGCATTATCTTTTCAAACAGGATAAATACCTTGTCAAACTTTTTTCCTTCTTTTTGAGGAAACTTTTATCACAATTTAAGTTCACTTTCACCTTCTTTCTTGCAAGGTATACTCCATAACTTGTTTACTAGCTAATTATTACAGTGGACTTTATTCATCACCAACCAACAAAATGAAACAGTTGAGACTGAAAATTTGAAAACCAATGCATTTTTATAGAAAAATAAACATGCACATAGCAATTTATATTTTATGATTTTATTTTGATCCAAATGAGTAAATACTTTAAAAGCATTGCATGCGCACATAGGCTAGTATTATATCAAAACAAAATTCACCTTGAAGCTCACACCTCTCAATATATGCTTTTCCCCAAATGATTTGTACACGTTTCGACACTCAATAAGAACATCGCGATCATCGTCAGGTTCCCGTAAGGTCTTTAAATTCTCTGATTTAGATAAATCCTAAAGAAACAATCCACGTAAGCCACAATTAAAAAGCAGATCCAAATTAAACATAAAAAAAATAAATTACAATGGATATATCCTACACAAACTCTAGCATTCAATCAATGAATTGCTGATGTCCAATAATTAACACAAGAGATAAAACTGAAATGGACAGATTCTAAAATAACAGCGTCCATTGTACATAAATTCGGACTAAACTCAATGAAATGGATTAAAATCGTCACGAAGGTAAAGTGAGTAGCAATGTGCAACCCAAATAGAAAGCATTAAACAATTGGAAATGAAACAGTCACCGAAAAAGGGATACCGAATTCATGCACCGATAGACGTGGCACCATCATGACCGTTGATTAATTATGAATTTTTTTTTTAAAAAAAAGCGGATGGTGCCATGTCTGTTCGGTGCATGAATTCAGTATACTTTTTTCGGTAACTGTAAGCATTGCTCTTAAACAATTTAAAACCACAATATTACATGAATTGTTAACAAAAAAGTAGTTGCTTCTCTGACGAAAGCAAAGCAAAACACAAGCACAGAACACATAGAATCCATTGTGACTGTAATCAATCAAAAACAATAACCTAAATGCACATTAAACTAAACTTGAAGCCAATAAAACTAAAGCAAAGCACAATCATAAACACATGAAATTCAATTTGATTAATCAAACTACAAATAAGCTCAAGTTAACTGATAAATGCCCATTAAACTAAACTTGAAGCTACCAAATTTAAGCAACTTAAACTCTACAAAACACCCTAATTAGAATTCAAACACCAGAAGAACATAAACGATAAACGAATTACATTGAATTTCGTGGCAGACAATTCATCACTTCCCAAGTTCCTTGAAGGCGCCACACAAGCACAAACAACCTTTTTCTGTTCCTTGCTTGGCTTATGATAAAACAAATTCATTCTTTTATCAGCCGAAACAGCAAATCTAGAGGATCTACTAGAACTCCCATTACTTGTAGCAAGAGGTAACAACAACGAACCCGTTGAAGATAAAGAGACCACCATTTTTAGGGCGTTTTAAAGCAGACCCAGATAAGATTTCCAATCAAAACCTCCAAAAATCACTGAAATTTCATCATTCAAACTGGTTTTGAGAACGATTCAGCTTCTGGGTATTGAAAATTTCTAGTTTCGAAGCATACCATATGGGAAAACGGCGTAGAAATCATGAAAATCACTGGAACAATTTCATTTGAAGCGAGAATAATTGAAGGTGAGGATTCTTCTATAAATTCAGTAATAAAATAATAAGAAGAAGGAGGCTGAAATTTTGAGTTTTGCTTAGTGGCAAGAAAAAGAACCTGTGGGCTTTTGGTTTTTTGGGTTGATGGGTGCGTGGTTTGGTGACGTGACTTTCGGTTCTAATGAATTCCCCTAAAAATGGTCGGCTATCAATCTAGACTATCTAGTTTCAGAATTAGAGCATATTTTACTTGTGTGACCAGTGACTATGACCAAAAGAAAATCTTTGTTGAGAGATTAAAAGTGTTGAATCATGACGAAGGTTTAAACAATAATGCTGGCCTCACAAACACATCTAAACATATCTAAGTAACACATTTCACTAACCCCATGTGCTTACAATTGGCTTGGCCAGGTAACACTCATTGTTAGAAAGGAGAGACTCATACGAGTTGACCAATTATGAACCAACACGTAACGTTTATAAGAGAAAATTAGTAAGAAGTATTTATAAGTGTAGTATTACTCAAGTGTAAATACCAATCTAACCCCCTTGTTTGATACACTTTTCCAACCTTATTCTATTATCTTATCGCAAAAAATAAAAAACGTGTTTGTTCTAATACTGTTCAAAATTTAATCATATTCTATTCAACTCAAAACATTTAATAATTACATTTCTCAATAAAAATTTATAAATTAACAAAAACACCCCCACCCACCCAAGCAACAGTTACCCGCCAGCAACCATTGTTGGCCGCCAATTGCCGTCGTTGCCATTGCCAGTTGCGGGCACCGAAAACGACTAGATCAACGCACGATCGGCCATTTCGGTGACTTTGGGCCACCGTCTGACAGTGGTGACTGGCTGTCAGCAATCAATTGAGTGGACGTGGTTGTTTTTGTTAATTTATAAATTTTTATTGTGGGGGGTGTTTAGCTAAATTAATAAATATTCAAAAAATATTTTCCAAAAATCTACTAAACACATTCTCAAAATCTTATCCGATTTGATTAAATCCTATCTTATCATGTTCAAAATAGAACACTATTCTAAAAAATGTACCAAATGGAACACTTTTGCATTTTTCTAACGAAATATTAATAAATTCTACTCTAAAAACTTTATCTCGATAAGTTTTGCTTCCATAAATTTTATTCAAAGAAATCCAACTAAGACCTTTACTATGACATAATGTCTAATAAGAGAGAGAAGTCTCTCATCGGTTGCTAATAAGGATAATCACTGGAGCTTTTATTTAGTTGATAGTTTCAAGGTTCCGAGGGATTAGTTGAGGTACGAGTAAACTAACGTGAATACCCCCGATCATAAAATAAAAAAAATAAAAATGTCTAATAAGAGATCTTTCTAGATATATTGATGTAACTGGTTATAATTGAATGGAGTATATGTGCCTGTCTCATTTAAATTTTGTGGAACAGTTGGGTATGTGCAATTTTACATAGAGTAAACAACATACTCCCACCCGAGGTTTGGCGAAATCACAAGTTGGTATCCCTAGTTGCATTTATTCCAGATTTTCACCCTTGAAGTAACGAAAAATTGTTTAATGTAATAGTAAAGGAGTAAATTGGTCATTTTGCAGGAGGTGACGCACGTTAGCAGATCGTTGCCTCTAATAATGCTCTGACGCATGTTTTTAGACATCGCCCTCTACGTTTTTTGCCATTTTCCGACCATTCTTCCACCAAAAGTTACCTTTGTCACCACCATTCGAACCATTATCCTCCCTTTTACAAAACCTTACCCTTCACAACCCCTCATCACTCGCTGATTGCCAGCCATAACAGCCATGACATGCGACTGTTTTTTGCCAATTCCTACCGTTTTGAGTGCGACAACCCCAACCACCACCACCGTTTGACTCCTCGCATCCCCCCTACAAAACCCTTAATCTTCCCAACCACGATAGCTTACCGTTTATCGTCCACCACTTCATCAAAAAACGCGATGAACATGAACCTCTCGGCTAGCAAATGACAACTAAACGGTTGGTGGGGACATAGGGGTTTTCTAGAGTTGGAGACGTTGGTTGCAGTGATGGTGTCCAATTGGATTTTTACCGCTGGAATCCAAAGAAGAACATTGAAACCCTAAACCTAATGGCTCCGACGATCAGAGGGTCTAATGAGTCAGGAACAAGAGGGGTTTTGGACAACAGACTATGGAGAACGTGATGGAGGTGATCAAAGGGTTCAACTCTGTCAGAAATAGCCTTGATAAGGCAAAAATCGAGAGGGTGCGTAGTCACGGGGTGTTATTGAAGTAATTTGAAAGTGAAATAGTAAAGTTTATAATTCTTATTAATTTAGGGGTTAAAACATAATTTATTAATTTATTTGTTAAAGGCATTATGGTAATTGTACTATCTGTAATCTAAAAATTGCTAACACTATTATTTTAAGGGTAAAAATCTGGAATAAATGCAATTAGAGGTACCATCTTAAGATTTCGCCAAACTCGGGGTAGGAATATATTGTTTACTCTTTTATGTATAATTAATTAGTTATAGGACAAGTAAAGTTCCGTGATTAGTCTGATGATCAAGGAGGTTTGTTATTTTCTTTGAGTTTTTTGGTTCAAACCTAGGGACTACCTATCGCATTAATATTATAACTTACTTGATCTTTTAGGTTTGTAGGATGTTCAATATATCTCGAAAATTAGTTGAGATACCCAAGCCAGCCACCGAACAACCCGATTACTCAAGAAAAAAAAAAAAAAAAAAAAAAAAGTCTCAAAGTGAGCGTCTTAAAGATTTTTAAAGGTAAGAGCCAAAGGCTAGAGCCTAGAGAATAAAAACCTGGGGACATTTGCGCGTTCAACGCTGACATCCATTTGTCTTATTCTTAACTTTATGCCACATCTCACCGGGGCCCAAGTGTGGTTTATATAAGTAGATTGATGATGCAGCCAATTCCAGAAATCAATTAATCAAACTTGAGTGGATTGGCGCTGTTCATTTTCTGCTTCAGGTAAAGTCATACTCAACTCTTGATCCTTCGTCATCTAGTTCTCTTCTCTTTAAAGTTTCAGTCGCTTGTTTTTTTGAACCGAATGATTTAACTGCCGTTTAGATTATGTTATGTTATGTTATGCTATGCTAGCTCGTTACATTCATATGATTCAATTTCTGCTGTGTTTGGTATTAGAATTGTTTTAATTATTATTCTTGCTAGATCATGCTTTGATGGTTAGTTAGTGTTGATTTTAATTAAATTGTGATAGTATTGATTTAATTGAAGTAGATTATGTTTATTGGTGAACTTTTGAGGGTTTTTCTGAAGTGAGATTTTGTGGATTATTGTTTTAGTTCATCCATGATAATGGGAAATTTGGTTGAGGTTTATGTGATGTAAAATGGTGAGATTAGAGATAAATCAAAATTCTTTCTGAGAATACTCAGAGATTATGGAATACCGAGTAGAAGCAAGTATGTTTTCGTTGATTATGAGAATACCCAGAGAATATGGAATATGGAGTAGAATTAAGCGTTTTTTGGTTTTTGTTAATTCTGAGAATACCCGGAATATTGATATATATTTTGAGGTTGTTAGTTGATTGTAGGAATACTTGAAATATTGAATAAAACTAAGCAACCCTTTGTTTGTTTCATTTTTACGGGTGTTACTAGGATCAATGTGATTGTTGAAAGCCTATATTTAAGTAATGTGCTGATTTTAGGATTACTTGAAATACTGAAAAATGCTAAGCTGAGTTTTTATTTGGTTTCATTTTTCTTGGTATTCCAAGAATAATGAATTATTGAAAGCCAGTCATTCGGTTGTATCATTATCATTTTGGCTATTGAATTTGTTTGGGATTAATGTCTTCAAATCTTGTCATGTTCTTTTGGCAGTGGAATGTTATCCTGTTTGGTTGTAGAAGATGAATCCACAGCCCTCTAGGGAAGATGTAAATTTTCATGAGAAAAATTTAGATTTATTATTTTGTTTAGTTCTTAGCTTTTAGAGAATGAAACCAATGTGATAGCCTTCTTATACAAATTACACAAACATTTACGGTTTACAGGGTAATCACGAAAGACTGAAGAAGTATGGCTGATGAAGAGAAAAATCTGGTTGAAATCTTAGAAGCAAATAACCTGATTGATATGGCCAAGTACATAACCTATGTTGGTGCTCCACAAGCTGGAGCCATAGCAACATTTGCAGGCACAACACGTGACACCTTTGAAGGAAAAACAGTCGTGGAGCTAAGGTATGAAGCTTATGTACCGATGGCAATACGCTGCATCAAATCTATCTGTTCATCAGCTAGATCAGCCTGGAATCTTCATTCCATTGCAGTTGTACACCGGCTAGGCACTGTTCCAGTGGGAGAAACAAGTGTCTTTATAGTCGTTTCAGCTGTTCATCGAGCTGATGCCCTGGATGCTTGTAAGTTTTTGATTGATGAGTTGAAGGCATCTGTTCCTATATGGAAGAAGGAAGTATATTCCAATGGAGAAGTTTGGAAGGAGAATTCAGAATTTAAAGAAAGAAGATTAGAGCTGGGGAAGAAAGATGGCGTTTGCAATAGAGGAGAAGTTTTGGTAAAAACACATGATAGAAAGACCTGTTGCGGGACAAAGGTCAAGGTGGACAACGAAGAAATCGGAGATATCAGCGCTGGCAAGTAAGAGATTGGAGAGTTATCGTTACTATTTATTTGCACACTTTTACATGTTTCAGGTTGCCACCTTATGATACTTGGTACAATTTTGCCACACAGAACAGTCCACTCCTGATTACTTATTTCTAGCTTAACCACCCAAAAGCTTTGTGATAGTCTTTCTACTCCTTAATCCGTTGCGTCCTATCGGTTGCGGCTGTGCTATGCCCACTAATATTTGGGAAAGATTGTTCTTCTACAATGTCACTACTGTATATTATGTGTATTGTGGATAAACATCACTTAGATGTTATTTTGTGTGGTGAATTCAGATGAAGAATAGGTTGATTAGAAAATGCATGAAGGCTATATAAAGAAAAATATCAAAGTATTATACACGCAGTTGAAAGGGTTTGAACAAGATGTCGATAATTTCTCAATGGAAATCAATACAGATTTGGAAAATTAGGCCCTGAGAAAAGGTAAGCTCAGTAGTGTAATTACCTTATGACTCCGCTGGTTGGACTGAAAAGATATCATATAAGATCACATTAATAACTCAGTAGTGTTATTTTTAGTTGCATACTAGGAAAATCCTCTTCAGTTATTTACTGTAAAACTATTTTTATTCATATTTTTGTGGAAAATAATCCAAAAATATGTGTTTCAATCCACGAAATTAAGGCTTTTGGAAATCTCCAAATTATAAACATCCATTGTCTAACAAACTAATAATGGACTCAATGTCTAAGGTAAGGGATTTCTCTATTGTATTTGAAAAATAAAGATGATTGACATTAAATATAAAATTTGTAAAAAAGACACGAGACTCTTTACTTCATCAAGCCTGTCGTGAACATTAGACTATAATATAAAGTTAATTTAAAATAAAGCAAGCTATAGATCAATCATCCGTTGTCGTCCAGCGGTTAGGATATCTGGCTTTCACCCAGGAGACCCGGGTTCGATTCCCGGCAACGGAAATTTTTTTTAAAATAAAAGTTTCCCTAGGTTCTTCTTTTTCTTCTACTTTTTCTCTTTTAAAATAAAGTTTCCCTAGGTTTTTCGTTTTCTTCTACTTTTTCTTTTTTAAAATAGATTTTCCATAGGTTCTTCTTTTTGTAATAAATTCTCTTCTGTGTTTTTTTTTTTTTTTCGTTTTATATTCCTTTGGACTTTTGTTAGATTTTAGTAGTGTAGAAGGTGAAATGATTTGTATGGGTATGAATTGCAATGAAAAAGATCGGGATGTAAAATTAAAGTTATGAGAAAAAATTGAATTTACATAAGTATATTCTATTGATTCATTGATTAATCAAGTTTTACTGGACTGGTAATGCTCTCGATATTATTGCTAGGATATCTCTATGGACAGATGGTCTTAATTACCGATATGGTATTGGTCATAGAATTAGGTCTTACCTAAATGTTCATTTATTGAAACTAGCCTTTTTAGTAACCTTTTATTCTTTAATAGACTTTTATAGTATCTATACTAGTTTATGTATACCTCAACTAATTTCTTAGGACTCTGAAACTATTGATCGGGTAAGAGATTCGGTGTCTAACCCTATTAGCAACTAAAAATATATTTAAACTTAAGATTTCTTGAATAATATACTCAAGATTCTTTACCGAATCATTCAGCTACCAATAAATAATTGACTTTTAGGCTATTTAATGAATAGAAAAGTATTTTATGACCTAATTTACATTAATTAAGGTACTTTACTTCCTTTTTTCTTTTTTATTAAAAAAAACGAAAAAAAAGGAAAAAATTCTTCTATTAACAATTTTGTATTGTGCTTTAATTTGATAATGGGCCCCAGCTTTTGTACTTTTCCAGTGTTTTCAAAAGATTAACGAATTAAGAAAGAGTAAACGACATTTTCGGTTTTCCCACCAGCCAAACCTTGGGTGGGCAAATGTCGTATACTAGAAAATTAAAGATGTCAGCAACGAATCCATCTTCTTTTTCTTTTTCCTTTTCTTTCTTTTCTCATATTTTAAAAGATTACAGTCTCAAAAATATATTAATTTAATTATAAAGCAAAACTTTCGAAAAGCATTAAAGAAAATATTTGATAATCATATTGTGAATTAGCCAAAGAACTTCCCGTTTATTCTAATTAAAAGAGTTAAAAAGACATCAAACCCTTGGGGTTTGATGTAATAACAAAAATCCAGTTGAGATTTGATTATCAGTGAGCCGTTATTTAGCCGTTGAAACTTACAATATTATAAGTTAATAAATATTTACATAATTAACTTTATAACGTTTATTTTAATACTTAAAAGCTAAAAGTTAACGATAGAGAGATTTATATTTTTTCAAAAATCGTTAAGAGATTTTTGTTATTCAATTAAAACATCTCAATCTGATAGAATTTGAGGTGAGTTTGACTCGTCACCCAACAATGTCTTATTGAATTGGAGGATTACTTCCTCTTATAAACCAGTAGGTTTGAGTGTGCCTAGTCGGTGTGAGACTCCAACACTCTCCCTCACGGTCAAACTCATATGTTGGATTATGTCTGTTATTGGAGGTAGTTGTTAGCTCTAACTCCTCACCCGCTGGTCAAGCACTTAGCTCAATTGAATCTGGACTCTAATACTATGATAGAATTTAAGGTGGGTCTAACTCCTCACCTAATAAGGCCTTGTTGAATGGGAGGATTACCCCCTCTTATAAACTAGTAGGCTTGAGCGTGCCTAGTCGGTGTGAGACTCCAACACTCTCCCTCACGGTCAAACCCATATATTGGATCACGTTTGTTATTGGAGGTAGTTGTTGGCTCTAACTCCTCACCTGCTGGTCAAGTACTCAGCTAAGCTAAACTTGGGTTCTGATACCATGATTGAATTTGAGGTGAGTCTGACTCCTCATCCAATAAGACATTGTTAATGGAAGGATTATCTCCTCTTATAAATAAGTAGACTTTAGTGTGTCTAGTCGGTGTAAGACTCCAATATAATAAAACACTTTACAAAACTAAAACAAAACATATTGGATCTTCATTTAAATTTAGCGCGCTTATAAAGGGTCAATCTTGATTTTCCTTGCAAACAAACACCTGAATCAAACACATTACGAAACAAAGAAAATCAATGAAAACCATTTTGAATCTTCATTTGGCGTGCTTAGAAATGATCGATCTTTATTTTCTTTGCAACCAAACACATTTCTAATTATTTTAGCAACCAAATACCTTAGAAAACTAAGAAAATCAATGGATGGATCTTCATTTGGCATGGTCGGTGAAAATCGAACCCATTACCACATAATCAAACATTGAACAAATAACATAAACATATTTTTTTTTTTTAGTATTAAAATAAAAATATTACTATATACAATTTTTAACTATAATATGGATGGGTAGGTTTGGATGATGTTGATTTGGGTAAAAAATTTGAACACAAAACCTTACCCATAAAATAATTAAAAAACAAAAAAACAAAAAGTTAGGTCATGTTGATAAATTGATTTATTTATTTTTTATATAAGCCACACATGTGGCAATCTGAGTGTACTTTCTCATGATATCTTATCTACCAAGGACCAAAAAAGTAAGGGCTAGATAAAAATGATTATATTTATCAATAATGCAAATCAAATTGGTAATGATAATATATTAAACCAAATAAAATTCACATTATTGATCGTAGGATTAAAATTCACAGACATATTTCAATTTGATAATATTTATTAGTTTATAATTTTGTAAATTTTAATAGTTCACTACATTATATCACCGAAAAGTGAATTTTTATTATTTTGAAAACTTTAGGAAGAGTTTTGTTATTTCTCTTCTGTGGTCGGATGTCAAACTTTCATTTGAAGTTAGTTATACCAAGAGAGTATTGTGTTCGACTTATAGGAAAAATATCTATCTCATTTGTACAATTACCTTAATCTATTACGTTTGTAAGATGTTTTGTGATCTTGAGAAATATGTAAACTGTAATGCAGAGCTCGATACCTTCATTACCTAAAAAAAAAAAAGTCATTCTAAATAATACAATAATAGAAACTAATTTAATTAAATATCATTTAATAATTAAATTAACCGTTCTTGTGGCTTCTTCACATTTAGACCCACATTGAAACAAAATAAAAAAGAAAAGAGAATACATCCCTCTGGAAAAAACTTTGGTCCCTTTTATTTTTGTCTGTATTTTGTTGTCTTTTCCAAGGACAGCTATATTGAAAACTGGCAAAAAACCCCTATATTACCAGGGATTTTTTTAGAGTCGTATTTTTTTTGTAGGGTCCAAAATGCGCAAAATCTGGTTTACATCATTACATGACGTATAAAATTAGCGGAATTATGAAAAGCAAACAGCTATTAATTAACTGATAATTCTATTAAAAGTAGAACTGTAGAACTAGTCTAATAATTATAACAATAAATTAGAATATTTTAATTCTGTAAAAATTCTTCAAACAACTATAGCCAACAAGGACCCTTTTTACTGTATTTTTTAAGGACTATTATTTTAGAAACTACCAAAGTTATCTCTAGATTAAGGATTAAGTTAACTCTAGGGATGTTTTTGCTAGTTTTTGAAAATATCTGTCCTTGGTTGGGTGAACGGAAACAACAGCGAAAACACAGACCCAGAATCTAGCAATGCTTTCTGTTTTTGACCATTCCCTTCCTTCGAAGAAACTTCCAAACATTTTCTCTCAAATTTTCTCGAGAAAGTTAACCCAACCAAACAAACAAACAAACGTAAACAACGACGCCTCTTCGCGAAACCTGCCACGAATTTGTCATCATAATTTACAACCAATCTTCTTTTCCTTCTTCTTCTTCACAAACGCCATTTCAAATTCAAAGTTAAGATTCCCCAAAACAGCGTCGTTTTGACCAAGATCTCCGAGTTCAAACAGTTAACCACCGCAACAATGACGTGTCCCGCGAACTCCATAACCTACAACACCTCGCTCTGCGCGTGTCCGCCTGGCCAGCTGGCCGGGCCGGCCACCAGCTGCCACGTGTACAACGAGAGCTCGGGGTTTGTGACGGTTTCTGGAGTGCAGGACTACTTCAGCATGTCGTTTCCCGAGACGTTGTTCGCGTTCGATTCTATCAAGAAGTTTAGTCAGTCACAGGCGGTGTTCTTGGAGGGCACGCTGGTGATGGTGGTGAGCTGGCTGCTGCTGTGTTTCTTTTTGAGGTTTACGAATGTTGGCGACGGCCGGAATGTTTGGTTTCGACTCCGGTGGTGGATTAGTCGCCTCGATGTTTGTTATGCTACAAGACATTGGCTGGTAATTAAGAACAAATAAATTAAATTAAATTATTTAAATATTTATTTATTGTTATTATTTTGTTGGACAATAAGATTCCATTACAGTCATTGGAAAGAGATAATTTGGATGGTGGAGATATGATTTGATTCAATCTTCATATTTAATGCCTATATAATTTCTGTTCAAATGCATTTATTCAATTAACTCAAGGATTATGTCAAAACTTGTGAAAAAATTATGAGGCTGTTGAACCTCTATATATTGTTTGAGTTTGAGGAGGATATTTGCACCCAAAATTTTACTCGAAACACTGGTTTTATTAAATGCATGCATCAATAGAATTATAAAATGTTAAATTTTTTTCAATAAGTTTTTATGTTTTTCATCGTATTTTTATTTAATAAGGCATTAATTAATTGATTTCATGTTGTAATTATGGAAGTATTATTGGGCTTGTAAAACAAAACATCCATAAATGTTTTATACTGTATTTGAATTGTGATCAGTCTATAATATAGTTAGAGGAATTATTTTATTGCTATGCTATTGGGACTAAAGTGATTGTAAAGTTATAGGAATAATGGCTTAGTAACATAATTTCTTACCAATAGGAGAAAGTCATCCATATGAATATCCAATGATATAATGCCACATATGCATTTGTTTTAAACCAATCAATTATGGTTGTAGTTATTTAGATTGGGTCCTACCAATATTTCTGATGTTACTAGTGTGATGTTTTATGTTAAAATTTTGTTGTTGCACATTAGCAGTAAGCATTATGGTAAATTATTGGTAATGTAGTATGGTCAATGTAATAAGTATTGGTAAACTTGTAATATTTTATGGATCTTATGTTCCATACATAATGTTTAGTCACATATGTCTTATTGCAAATATAACATTTTTTTTTTTTTTGAAAATTAATAACTTCAACTAGAGTAGAACTTTCTATTGTATTATAGCTTAAATTAGCCAGCGGTGTTATATATTGTAATTACTAATTACTACTTTTGACATTGCACGTTACTACAAAATATTATGTTAACACTACTTTCTCCTAATGTAGTATGATCTGTCTATTAAGTATTGTTGGACTTATAAAATAAAACATATGTGCATGTTATATATTGTAATTGTATTGGGATCATTCTATAATGTTGTTGGAGGAATTATTTTGTTTCTATGTTATATGGAGTAACATCCAGTAACATTATTGGAATAATGTCTTTGACAACATATAGTGTCAAATTAGTAACAAATTATAGGAGAAACTCTTAGGTGGGATGCGGTTACAATGTCATCCGTGTGAATATCCAATGATATAATGCCACATATTCATTTGTTTTATATAAAGCAATAATGATTATGGTTAATTAGATTTAGCTGAAAATAAATATATACATGGTTGATATCATTGGACTCGTTTGGATGACGTGGTGTGCCCATCCCACTTAGGGTTTTTTTTTCTATCAATAAATGCATATGTTCGTAATATTTACTTGATATTAAAAGTTTGTCATTGCATATTATCAGTAAGCGTTATGGTAAAATTACTAGTAATGTAGTATGATCAGTCTATAAGTATTGTTAAACTTGTAATATTGTATGGGTATTATGTTTCCATACCATAAGTCATATATGCCTTATTGCAAATAAAACATTTTTTTATACAAATTAATACCTTTTAAGTAGAGTAGAACTTTCTGTTGTATTATAGCTTAATTAGCCAGCAGTTTCTTTTGTGTATAGGATGATCAGAAGGTGGTTACAAAGAGGAAAACAGAACTTGGCGGTACTTTTTCAATAGCAAGTTGGATACTGTTCATTGGTCTATTTGCTGCGTGAGTATGTTGTTTTTAGGATATTATGTTATTGTTTGGTTTTTTAATTTTTTTGATATGGATAAGTTCATTAATTACCCTTCAGAGGTTTGCCTTAAATGCTGAAGTTTGCATTTTTTGTTCATTGCATCTTCAAGGTATCTATAAAGTTTGACAAATGACAACACTCAAGAGAGTTTTCTAAAATAACAACAATGATGTTTTCCGTAGAATTCAGAAATTCAGGAATGGTCATTGACAGAAATGCAAACTTCGCATTTGTTTGTATTTGGGCCAAACTTGAAGGGTTATGAATGAAATTATCCCTTTTTAAGTTTCAGATGTGAATTGTTGATCATATGACTGGAAATTTAATTAATTTTCAGGTTGCTTTACCAAATCATATCAAAGAGAACAATTGAGGTGCATAATGTGAGAGCTACAAATGCACCTGATTTAGCTTCATTCATGAATGATATGGAATTTAATATAACCACTGTTTCTAGCATGACCTGCTCAAACTTACGTGGGCTTGGTACTTTATTTACTGGAAATCCTGGCTTCATTGACTTTAGAGTGGCTCCTCTTTCAAATTTTGTTAACTATTCTTGTCACAACACAAGTACTGGCCCAACCCTAAGTTTTAAGTGTAGCAGTTGCCGTCCTTTTCATGACCAAATGTACATTTCGTGGCAGTTTGTTGATCTTCCCAACAATCCTGCGACTGCTGTTGGTTTTCATTTCAACCTAACTGCAAAAGCTCATGGTAATAAGAAATATGTGAGCTTCGTGAGTGGCATACTGAAGAATGGAAGCGATTTTGATGATAGACCAGTTACATTTAGAGGGACAAATTCAAATGTTTTGAAATTTAATTTATTTCCCCAACTATACCATAATTTGAATGACCTAAGGCTCCTCCAACCTCTTTTTCATGAGTTTCTACCGGGTTCATTCTTTCGTGAGACAGCTGCGCTGCAGGCATCCCTTGAACGTTCTAGTGATGGACTAATAAACACCACAATGTATATAAACTTTCTCTCAGCCTACATCGTTGAGATTGAAAATCGAAGTATAATTGGTCCTGGTAAGTAAGATGGTTTTCCTGTATATAGATGATTCAGTAATTGATGAAATTACTCAATTCAGTTCACATTCTGCAATCAGTTGCTAATTTTTACTTGATGGTGCTGTAAAGCTATATAACTTTTGTATTCTAGTCNCTTCAGAGGTTTGCCTTAAATGCTGAAGTTTGCATTTTTTGTTCATTGCATCTTCAAGGTATCTATAAAGTTTGACAAATGACAACACTCAAGAGAGTTTTCTAAAATAACAATAATGATGTTTTCCGTAGAATTCAGAAATTCAGGAATGGTCATTGACAGAAATGCAAACTTCGCATTTGTTTGTATTTGGGCCAAACTTGAAGGGTTATGAATGAAATTATCCCTTTTTAAGTTTCAGATGTGAATTGTTGATCATATGACTGGAAATTTAATTAATTTTCAGGTTGCTTTACCAAGTCATAGCAAAGAGAACAATTGAGGTGCATAATGTGAGAGCTACAAATGCACCTGATTTAGCTTCATTCATGAATGATATGGAATTTAATATAACCACTGTTTCTAGTATGACCTGCTCAAACTTACGTGGGCTTGGTACTTTATTTACTGGAAATCCTGGCTTCATTGACTTTAGAGTGGCTCCTCTTTCAAATTTTGTTAACTATTCTTGTCACAACACAAGTACTGGCCCAACCCTAAGTTTTAAGTGTAGCAGTTGCCGTCCTTTTCATGACCAAATGTACATTTCGTGGCAGTTTGTTGATCTTCCCAACAATCCTGCGACTGCTGTTGGTTTTCATTTCAACCTAACTGCAAAAGCTCATGGTAATAAGAAATATGTGAGCTTCGTGAGTGGCATACTGAAGAATGGAAGCGATTTTGATGATAGACCAGTTACATTTAGAGGGACAAATTCAAATGTTTTGAAATTTAATTTATTTCCCCAACTATACCATAATTTGAATGACCTAAGGCTCCTCCAACCTCTTTTTCATGAGTTTCTACCGGGTTCATTCTTTCGTGAGACAGCTGCGCTGCAGGCATCCCTTGAACGTTCTAGTGATGGACTAATAAACACCACAATGTATATAAACTTTCTCTCAGCCTACATCGTTGAGATTGAAAATCGAAGTATAATTGGTCCTGGTAAGTAAGATGGTTTTCCTGTATATAGATGATTCAGTAATTGATGAAATTACTCAATTCAGTTCACATTCTGCAATCAGTTGCTAATTTTTACTTGATGGTGCTGTAAAGCTATATAACTTTTGTATTCTAGTCAATATGTTTTTTTTTTTTTTTTTTTTTTTTTTTTTTGGGTAAGTCAGTGTCAATATGTCTCTTTGTGTTTGTTTTTGTGTGTGTGTGTGTGTGTGTGTGTGTGTATGAAAGAGAGAGAGAGGGGGAGGGAGAGAGAGAGAGAATGTTCTCAATACTGAGCGAGTGATTGCATAGAAACTAGAAGAGATGACTCCATTGTGAAATTTTAAGGGTTGGGTTTTCCCTGAGCTTCGTAGCCAGACATCATGTTCTACATCTTTACTTAGCAAATTGTTTTCTGGTCTGTGATCCAAGATATAAACAAATGAGTTATAGTCTGCCTTTTTGGTCTCTACTGTTACTTAAGTTGGTCCATTCAGGAAATGTGTGGTCATTTTGCCATTCCAGGAAACAAAAAGACGATATTAGAACAAAAAAAACGTATATAAGAATGGACTAGTTGTCCACAGAAAGAGGATAAGCTGTCCTGAGAACCCTAAGGCTTTAATAACTATACAAGATGAAAAACAAAGGTTCCATTTTGAGATACGCTTGAATAATGTGAAAAAATTGCATATATTGTAAAGGTTAGTTGCTTTGGTCTGGCAATTTTAGGTCATAATCATAAATAAGTAGAGTTATAAGTACAATGTATGAACTTGATTCTTTTCTGTTCAAACAATCTTTTTTGTATTTGTAAACTGCAAGGTCTTTTGGTGCCTATTTCATATTTTAGTCCCATTACATTCTTATCATACTACAATAGTTAATTGAGTTCTTTTTGTTGACTTTAAAATCTATTGTTGCCTTTGATTAATTGGTACTGTATCATCTCTTTTGGAGCTTTCTATAGATTCATTGAAGTTGTAATTAATGCTTATATAAATGTTGTCTTCTTTCTTCAACATGCAGTGAGCTTTGTTGCAGATCTTGGTGGCCTATATTGCTTTAGTATCGGCATATTTTTCTACTTATTGGTGCAAGTATGATTGATTTCTCATTCTAACCTGTTTCCTTCAGTTTTTCTTTCTTATTTTTCTGAAATTTATGTTGGAGTGTCAGATAAATTTTATGTTCATGACTACTTATGTATGATAAATGTTTGTATGAGCATGACAGATATATAAAAACATGCAGAGGTGGATATAACCTCTAAACAACCAGATAATATGGCTCCAGCTTAGTGTTTTATACCGAATCTTTATGAAATCAAAATCCTTATAATGTCCCTTTTGTATGTGCTTAAAATAGTAACTGATATATTAAATTATTAAACCTGGTCTAATGATTGGAGGTGTCTTCTGTAAAACTTGTTGTACTTTCCAATAATTTCTGAGTCCTTTTTCTCTTACTTTTTTGTATTTACAAAGTAATTGGAAATAGAATCTGATATAGAGAGGGAGGACCTTTTTTTAGGCGCGCATACCAGTAACATGCATATAGTTTCTCCCTTGAATAGTCTTTAAGGCAACTCATTATAAATTATCCCAAGATAGAGTTAATGCAATGAATCGTTTTAATTTATTTCCTTTATTTTAGAGAGAGAGAGGCCTATGTGAGCAAGTAAATCAGAAATTTGGATCCTTCAATTTCATGATAGATAATAGTTGAAACATGATATATAGAAAAGAAGGGGTAAAATACCATTGATCGTGTCTTTGATAGAGAGGTCAGCTGTAAATCAATGTGCCGCTTGTGCTCTCAGCCCCTACTTTTGTGACTTTAATACTTGATATACAGAAATTCCTTTATTAATTCAATGCATTCCTGATTCTCCTAATTGTTCGGTTTGTAGTGTGAGTTCAGAATAAAAAAACTCCGCAATGAAGATAGCATTTTGCGACGAATTAGAAATCGTCGAAAAGCTCAAGAGCACTGGGATAAAGTAATTTCTTTCTTGCCTGATGAAGTATCTGTGTTTATTCATTCTGTTCTGAATATTCATTTCCATATTAGTCTTATTTCAATGGAACTGACTGATTACATCTTATAATTAGTTGAGAAAATATGTGATGTACACTTGGGATTGTAAGACTTTGCAAAATGACTACGAAGACACTGAAAATGGATCAACTTGCTGTAATCCCAGGGTTCCATCACTTCATAGTAATGGAACATTTAACAAATCTAGGTCTTCCCGGAAACGAAGTCAAAAAAAGGGCATGGATACTATGAGTTTTAACAAGAAAAGCAACTTGCCCTCTGAGAAGGTCAGGCTTTACTGATCACTCTGCAGTATCATTGATTTACAGATTCCAGCTTGTGTATTTTTTTTTTTTAATTTTGTTGTTTTGTTTTTCCATTTTCTTAGTATTTCCACCAAGTGGCTGAATATTTAACTCTGCAGAATACCATTCCAGAGTGCACCAAAACTGAAGAGGTGGAGTCTTGTGTAACAGGAACTGCAGCATATCCTGAAGGGACGCTGTCACTTCCGAAGGGTGAACCTGTATGATTCTTTGCTTGTCTCCTTGTTTAGAATTGATTTTAGCATTTCAGGTAGAACCTTTTGGAGAACCCCAAGGGTTAGGTTGAGTGGTTAAGACCCTTATTTTTTATTTAATTATATTTTTTACCAAATGTTTATTGTTCAGTATCTAAAATTTGTCACTGAAAAAATTAATTAAAAATTCTAGCAAACTAAGTGATGACAACTGGATTTTCCCCCTTGGAAACTTATAGCTCAAATACTACAAATTGTTGATCAATATTCTTGATGTTTTAATATTATCAATTGCGTTTTGTTCTCAGTTTTTTATTTTTGAGTTATGTTTATTGTTAATGTTGAGAGTTTAAGTTGCTTGTCTTCTATGCTTCTTGTCCAGCCTCTGAACTCGGAAGTGCGTAGCTCTAAAAATGGTGAGAAAAAGCATTATTGTAGTTCAGATAAGGGAAATGTCTCTCAACCTCAAGCTGTAGCCCTTGGTGATGATAATATCATTCCCCCACCACCTCCACTTGGTAACAACTGATCTTTTAAACTTAGACCTACTTGCTCTTTTTACCGGCTATTACAGCTATTTTTTTTTTTTTTGTTCCTTTCTTTTTTCTTTTAATTGCATGGATTGAGGTCTTTGCTTTTACTATCTGCACATGCATTGCCATTTTTAACAATTCAGTAAATTGATATATATTTGCCTTTCCTTTAATATGTTTATCTGAGGTTTAAGGGATATGTTTACTCTGATTCTTATTATCTAGAGTTATATACATATTTAATACAAATTAGGTGGAGAAAAATTTGATGTAACTATCTATAAGAGAATCTTTATACTATTTTTTCGATGACCTAAATTAAAAAGATTGTGAAAGTCTGAAACACAGAACGGTCATCATTGAGTCAGATTTTTACTATTCACCTTCATTTCTCAATGGGCCTGATAACAAACTTTCAGTGGAGATACTTCCATCTTAGAACTGCATTAGATATTGTCCCAACATTAAAACTTTTAGTTGCTTTGTTTATGTAACTTTGTTGCTTATCCGATGCAGTAGTGAAGGCTGGCTCTGAAGTAGAGATGTCTGAAATCCAGAAAAATTTTCAGCAATTATATGACTTCAATGTAATGCTGAGGGATAAGTTAGTCGCTACACAATCTTTGCTCCATGACCTAGCAGTTAAGCCTTCGTCTCCAGTAGCAGAAAGCGAAACATAATTGTGAAAACACCAAAGAGTTGCTACCCTTGCTTACAATTCTGCCAGAATTTGCCTTCACATTTGTCGAAGTTTCTTAGATGTTTGTCCTCGGGATTTGACCTTTTAAGTATGTAGCCTGGCCCCTCGTTGATCTTCCACAGCTGTAACTTACAGGCTCAAGTCTTGCCGCGTTCAAGGTCACTGCTTCGTAATAGAACGGCATGGGGAAAAGAAGAACAACTTGGGCTTATTAATTGATGATCAGCAATGACAATTTTATTGATATTATTTGTGTGGTTACAGCTTTGCTATATCTGTCCAAGTAAAAGATGGCCTGTGGGCAGGCTGCAGAATTTGAGGTTCTTTGTGCATTCTGCTGATCTTGCATACGATGTTCGCCAAGCGATACGTGTGTCGAAAGTATCGCGATTTCCTCTTGTATATGTTTTAGTTCTTTATGATTGGGAAAACAAATTGGAGGAAGAAGAGAAAAACATGGAACCATTCTCTTATGATTGAATTTATTCAATTTATTCAATTACCTATAAAGCTAACCAAATTCTGTGTATGAAGGGATTTCTTCACATTCAATGCTTCTTATCTTCTTCTCTACTTGGGTTTTTATTTTTTTTTAAATTATTATTATTATTGAAGTGTGTATTATTTTATTTTATATTTTTTAAAGGGTTCTTTTTGATAATTTTAGAAGGTATAAATTTTTTCAGTTATTCCCTATTTAACCAGTTTTTAATTGTTGGCACTTTTGCTCTTAGCCATTGTGTTTTAACTTTTATTTATATTTATATTTTCTTTATTTGTAAGTATATGTATATCAACAGTATTTTGTGTATAATCTTTCTACAATAATATTATACTTACAAAGACTCTTTATAAATGAGCAATGTTAGGTTCACAATCTAATTTTATAATCTTTTCTTACAACTCTTGAAGTGTTAGTTCACAATTGAGCAGATGTGACTCATAGCAAATAGGTGAAATCTATTTGCGGGTTGATCAATTAAGAGTTATCGCGTTGGAAGTTATAAAATTAAGTTGTGGACTTGACATTATTGTTAAGTTGTGGATTTGACATTATTATTTATAAAGTGACATATGAAAGAGTGAATATTTGTTAATGATTTATGAAATAATAGCGTGACCTATATGTATATATATTCATTTTAGAAAGATTATGCTTGAATGTTATTCGGTTCAGCAATAAAATATCATTGTTGTCAAATGAGTTTAATATAATAGAAGAATGTTATGTTTACAATCGAGTTATGAGTTTAATATAAGAGTAATACTACACATACATCATTTTCATACAATATTTTTCATACAATATTATGTGGCAAGATATGATTGGCTAATTTAAAGTTAAAATTAAACTTTCACCCAATCACATCTTGCCACATAATGTTGTATGAGAAATGTTGTATGGAAATGATGTATGTGTAGTATTATTCTTAATATAATAGAAGAATGTTATGTTTACAATCGAGTTATATAATCAGACAAAAATTATATAAAATTTATGTAAAATGATTATTTTATCTTATATTTTTTGTTTAGTTGTATGACTATGTTGGAAGACATTGGGGTGCGTTTGATTCATTATTTTGGATATGATTTTGAGAATAATATTGGGTAATTGAATAGGGAAGTATTACAAGATAAAATTTAAAAATTTATAAAAAAACCCCTTAGGTTTATTAATTTAATTAAAGACCTCAACATATAAAATGACAAAAACACCCCCACCACCCGTAGCTCCAGATTTCGGCCACACCGTCAGAATTTGATCGAAAAATTGTGTTACAACACAGACCGGTCGGATCTGTGTCGTAACGTATCGATATGGTATTTTCTGGCCAGATCTACCACTGATCTAGCTAGAAAAAGGTTAGATCTATGGCCAGATGTGACCGTCGACGGTCAGAAAAGGCCAAAGAAGTCCATCTTTGGTCGTCAACGATGGCCAAAGATATGACCGTCGTTTTCAGTCAACGATGGCTATTTCTTTGGCAGTCGTTGACGGTCAGATCGGTGAACTAACGGCCAGTAGCCGTCATGCTGTAGGTTGTTGTATAGATTTTGATTACCACCAAAGGTGGTTGTTGGAATCTGGCAAGTATGGGTTGATGGAGGTGTTTTTGTTTATTTTTAAACTTTTTTTAGAGGATATTTAATAAAATTAATAAATTTAAAGGGTCTAAAATAATTAAAAAAATATAATAATATTTATAGAATAATATAAAAAACAATATTTAGAAAATAAGACTGATGTAGAAATATTGAATCAAACGCAACTATTAACATTACTTTTGCATCGTCCCTATACATCATTCACATGTGGCGGCTGATGTAATGGCTGATGTGATGGGTGACCCCATCTTCCGCGTTTGCGAGTTACCACGTCATTTCCCCAAAATTAAAACAAAAAAAACTATATTTCGAATTTCACTTTCCCCCTTAATCAAATCCTAATCTCAAAATTCATTTTAAAAATACTTGCAAACACTAACGTTCAAGTCTCCTTCTCTCTCTCTCCTGCCACCACTCGACCCCTCTTCCCCCTTCAGCTCGTCCTCTCTCCCTTATCTTCGTGGCCTCTCAATTTCCGCCGCCGCACCTTGCTCTGTCGCTGCCTTGGGCTGGTTGTAGCGCTGGCCGATGAGTTGGTGGCGTGTGTTTGTTGGGCTAAGGATTACGATGGAGCTGAGTTGATTTGGAAATTACGGTATAGGGGTTTAGCAGGTTATTTTAGGACAGGAGTGCTTGAGTTCTTTTCAACTAAAGCTTCTTTTTATAGTTTCTGTTTTCAACTACTTTCATTCACCATTTGTGATTTTCTAGTTTATATTTTACTCAAAACGACATAGGTACTGGACAGTTCAGGTTACTTCTGCTCATTGAAACTCATTGGCTAATGGCCGTTAATGATAATTCTCACAAAGAACTTCAACAGAATTTCCAGTAATTAGGACTACAATAGCACATACACAAGTTATGCCAACAGCATGAACAGTTTTGTGTGACACTTGGCTATTAACGTCATCCAAAAACTGGCTGTTCATTTTAACGTTTGGTTTTGCAATATTCAAGAATGCGGCTCATTTGGTTAGTTATTAAGAATAACATTCAATGGTAAATAATATTTTTTAAAAATAGGATGGCTTCGTTTGGTTCAAAATTTTGGATTTTTGGGAAAAGTCTTTTGAAAAAAATTAAAAAAAAAGTTGAATTGGGCGGGTATTACGATGTAAGATTTACAAATTATAAAATATCCTCTATGTTTGTTTTTTTACAAAACACCCCCTATAATAAAACATTAAAAGTTAACAAAAACACCTCCAACCCACCCTCAAATACGGACAGCCGACCACAACCGCCGGAGGGTGGTCGGAGTCGTTGTAACAAAAACATTAAAAATATTTAGGGGTATTTAATTAAATTAACAAATTTAGGGGGTTTAAAAAAAATTGAATAAAGTTAAATAATATTATGAGTTTTTGAGTATTTTACTGTTTAACTTTTTTGGGAATACTAAAAGTAGTATTCCCAAAATCCAACCAAACGAAGCCGATAGGATTCTGAAAAGTGTTTTGTACATTTCTGAATAATATTTTTTTTTAAATATTTTATTTTTAACCATTTAGGTTTGTTAATTTAATTAAACATCAAGTTTATAGATTAACAAAAACACTTTCACCCACTCATATATTATCGGTAGCCGACCATTATCGTCGAAAAGTGGTTGGAATCTGTTAGAATGATCCACAATCGATTGGATTTAACTGGTCATACGTCAATCTGAGCTTTTTCGATCAGATCCATGATGGATTTGATCAGAAAATGCCATATCTATGGTCACAAATCTGGCCATTGATAACCAGATCTGGTTGTCGTCAACGGCTAAATATTTGGCCGTAGAAAACTAACAGATAGGCCAAATACAATCAATCGTACGTCGTTACGACGGTGGCAACCAACGACAACAACAGTGGCTATTGGAGGGTGATAGTGGCTTGGATGAGTGAGAGTGTTTTTGTTAATTTTAAAACTTTTATTAAAAAAAGTAATTATTAATATTTTGAATTGAATAAGATAAAATTGGATTTTGAAGAATATTAAAATATATGCATTTTTGGGTTTTTATAATAAGATAGTGGGAGACAGTGCCAAACGAACCCTCAATTTGCATGACAACATTACCCACAATAAAATGACACTTGGAATGGAAATTTAGAAACTCAAATATCGTTACCAAAAACCAAATTTTCCTCTCCCCCAAGCAGAGGATTTCGTTCAATTGGAAATAACAATGTAATCACATGATTTCAAGAACTGCATACTAAGAATATTGATTCTACACAGGAAGGCAGACAAAAAATTGCATGTTCTCCCAACTGTAAATAGCTAAAGAGATTATCCCTGCTTCTAAAAAACTATCATATTAACTGGCATTTGATGTGAAGACTAAAAGCATCCAACCAAAAAGGGATTTCAGATGTTCAGATGCCACCTGCATCAAGTACACATTATGCTTTAGTCCACCTCCATAAAAAATTACAGTTAAAACCTAGCAAGCTAAGTCTTCTACGAACATTGTAAGAATGAGAATCAGAAAATTTCAAATACGAGGAGATTTCAGATGTTCAGGCAATGAATGCGACAAAACATAAATTCAGACTCAAATTTGAAAAGAAACCAGAAACAGTGTATGTCAAATGCAATTTGCTTCTATCAGTCAACATGAACACATGGTCAGGCGCAAGTTTGTATCAAAAGGCAGAATAAGCAAGCAAGAAATTCAACATCAAGCCGCACAAAGGCACATGAGATGACTTCAACAACTCAGAATCAGGTTCTATCTTTCTTTAATATACATCAAATGAGCATATTACAAACATTTAAAAAGAAATACACTTAATAAACTTACTGTAGTTACATGCAAATAGGAAATTATATTAGCATTGATACAAGCATATAAGTATTTATTTGAAGATGTTACCTTGCAATATCATAGTCACTAACATACTTTTGAATTTGCATAGCAGCTATTAGACGTGAATCTGCATTAGAAACAGCAAATTGCAGATACAAGCAAGAGAGCAAGCCTTTGTTTCAAACAAGCCTCCAAGTAACAAAGCATTTGGCAAGTTCTAAGAGTTTTCACAAAATATTTCCATGCCGCCACTAATCAATGCAACAATGTAAAATCATCACGACATGAACAATCCAATCCATATATCAAACAAATAATTTTGTATGTAGAGCTCAATTCGAACACCCAATTCCTATCAAACCAGAAAAATGATACACATATAAACTCATAATTTTGTATGTAGAGTTCATGTTCATAATATTATTCTGAATGAAAACATCATTGAAATCAGAGGTCATATGTGTCCAGTAACTTTATCAGGCCAGATATCAAAAAAGGGTAACATTTGCCAAATCTTTAGTATCACAATTTATATATGATCCCCAATTTCATATAAAACGTTAAAGTGCATTGCTCATTATAGGACTAATTGTTGGCATTGCTCATTATAGGACTGATTGTTGGCAATGTTACATTCACACCAGCCAAGACATCATTAGCTCCTTCACGCACTCCATCCTTTTTCGCAG